TGAGATGATAACCAAGCCTCTTAAACTTACTTTAATCACTTTAATTCCCCTTTTAAAAAATGAAATCACAGGATCCTCTTTCTTTTAATCTTTAAATTTTGTTCATACGTCCCATTATAATCAATTTTTGCCGGTAGTTAGGCTAATTTTACGAATATTACTTTACTACTTCGTGAAAAAAACTCGACTTATACTAACATCGTGTAATAGCGCTGCATCATCAAAAATATCTAGCTGCTCTTGTCGCTCAAGAGCTCTCGACTGGATATATTATCACTAACTTGCAGCTTAAAACTGTGCCTCTTAATATTGGAAGATTATTGTCATTGAAGCGGCCGCGGTAAAAGTCCGTTTTGTCCGCAAAATAGTGATCGGATTATCCTTAATTGCCATCGATTATTGCGGTGTGCGTTAGACGGATGTTGCCATTGCTGTTGTTGTAGTGTACAATGGTATTGTGGGCTGTGGGACTGTTTAAAGGGGTTTGCCGGATGTCTGTATGGATGCGGACGAGATTTGTCCCGTCTGGGTCCTAGTTTAATTGGAACTCTTGGCAAACTAATCGTGTCTGAGATCCTCTTAATCATCCTTAAATTTCGCTATCATTATGTGATTCTTTTCCTTACAATGCTCTCTTTAATTTCTTTGAATTTAGAGGGAATATATTGAGCCCTATTGTTTAATAAAATTAAGAAATCCGGCATAGATCAGTCTGATCAGTCTAATTCAAGCATTGTGATTAGTATTTGCATGAGTGGTTCACTAAATTCGTAACGAGAAAAAAATTTTTATAATGGACAGAATTCCATTAGTTGGATGGTAAGAAATAGAAATAACAATTTTAATAACAATTTCAAACAGTTCTTACATTTCTTCAGATAGTTTAATGAGTTTTTTCCTCCAATAAATCGGTTTGCCGTTTCGGCTAAATGCGTTGATTAGAATGGGATCGTTGAGCCAGAGATTCTTGGGGTGATATTAATATTAGAATCTTGTTTTACGTTTAATCACAAGTTTCAAGCTTTGATCTTATCACTGAACCCATGGACCGAACCCATTTTTAATGGAAGAAATGAGCACTTGTCTGTCCTGCTTCCTATTTTATAAGCTTATTTGAATACTTTAATTATTTTTTGTTATTTTATATGATTCACCTCCTTTGTCTTTTCTTTTTAATTTTCTTTGTCTAGATTATAATAATATTAATTATTTTTTCATCTTGCTTATATGGCGTATGGATATATTTACATTTTAGACATTGAATGGATGGCATGACGACATATGCGAATATTTATCACTTAAAACAAGCTTTCGAGCTATTGATGCTATCGGCTTTGGTTTCTTTTTGTTATTTCAGTTATGATTCCTCATGCAATGTATTTGGGTTAGTTTGAATTCAGTGCAACTATTATCATTTAATTTTGTTAAGCATATGGTAATGTTAATTAATCGATCATTTAATTTTTTAAGTCACTTTTAGTTGGAAGGAATTTTGAACTATAATTTTGCGAATTCTGTTTCATAGAAGAAATATTATTAATTGAAGAATTTTTATAATTTTTTTAATATTTTTTAAAATGTTTTTTATAGTTATTTTATTTTTATACTTTTTTATCGTTTTTTAATATTATAATGAAACCTATATTCATCAATAGGTAAATGCAGTGGGTAAAATAAAATTTTTGAAATTTTTAAGTAAAATGTTTCATATTTGCGTTTTCAGAAAAAATTTAAGACTAATGTCAGATTTAATCGTAAAATTCAGCCTTTAAATATTCGTCAGTTTATCGGAGTATAATTTTATAAATAAATGAGTAATATTGAGATTTTTGAACGTTATTTCTGTTTTACTGGAGATTTTCACGGTGTTTCGTAATGATGTTTCGAAGATTTTATTATCAGCTTATAAAGAACATATTATCGCTTAACAAGAATGTTTATTGAAATTTATGGTTTTGATGAATAAGTTTATTCATTAGTTATCTCAAAAGATCATCTCTTATTCTCGTATTCTTATCTTTTTAACTAAATTTAAATTCAGTTTTATTTTTTCATTAAAATAGAGATAATTAATATCGAAAAAGAAATCAAATAAAGTATGACTTTTTTTTGTTTCAAAAACTGGAAAAAATAGTGATAATTGGTGATAATAGAGAGAATAGATCTATAGCCATAACCATATTTTGTGAAAATATAAATTTTAAATAAATTTAGTAGAAGTAATTTTCAAGTTTTATTTAAGCAATATTTAGGAAATATTTGAATACTTCAGCAGGATTAATTATCCATAAAAGATTCGCCATAAATTCATTAGTAGAATTGGTTTTTATAATAAACATTTCTAGTAAAAAAACTAGATAAATTTCTAGATGAAGAATGTATGTTTGGTGCCAATTTTTTACTTTAAATTTGATTTTAAATTTGTTATTTTAATTCGATTTTAGGTTTCGGTTTTTTATTTTAATTATTTGTTAATTTGTTTTTATTTCAGTTCAGCAAGATTTTATGAAGGAAATATATTTTCTGAAATTTAAAGTAAATATTTATTTTATTTTTTACTTTTTTATTATTTTTATTTTTTATTTTCTATTTTTTAATTTTCTTAATTTCATTTCATTAGATTTAAACTTCATTCATCCATTATTGTTTTTAATTTATCGGTGATTATATCGAATTTTGAAAATAGAATTTTTTTTGCTGATTTTTTAATTTAGATTTGAAATAACAATGCGAAACGATCATTTTGCGAGAATGGTAATAACGCAACAGCTTATAACCGAGCATTAATGATGTTATTGTGTGCAAGGAAATATAAGTTCATCCTCGTCTAATTTTTTTTCGTTTATTGATTGATTTGTCATTTTTATCATTAAGATAATTATCATAAAAAGAAAGAAAAATAAATAAGTTCGTAGAGAATAAATTAGAAAAACCATTTAATAGATGAATCGTTATAGTATTTGAATTGACTTAGCTATTGCTGTTCGATAAGGGATAGAATAGATGGAATGATTGAATTTGTGGTTGCTTTTTCTTTGTTTCTATCTCTGAAAATATCTAGCGTAATTGTCGAGAAGGAGAAATAGATTGGGAAAAATGGATTGTTTGATGAAAGAGTAGAGAATAAAACGATAGGGCAACTGCGGCAGTAATAGTAGCAACACCAACAGCAGCACTATTAGCAGCAGCAACGCATACGATATGCGAATCAATAATCAAAAATAGGATTATTAAAAGCAGTAGAAAGGGCTTTCGAAAGGAAAGTATAGGAATGTATGCATACTTGACTGAATTGAACATGAGGAATGGGATGAATAGCCGTTAGATGGAGGAATAAAACTCGATGTTTGATTTCGTTTTGAATTTGGTTTAATTTGGAGAAAAATTTAGAAAATAGTCAATTATCAATTATCAACATTAATAGGTCAGCTCATATACAGCTCAGTCACTGCCACCATTGTTATTACTTCAGTTATCAACAGCGTTGATTTTTTTTACGGCTCAAAAATTTAACAGTGAAAATGGAATGCCTATTTTGAAATTATTGACTACTTTTTAAAGCCTTCAGTAACGTACTCCGATTATCGACTTATCTTTGACATCAACGTCTGGCCATGAAAGAAAATTGAGAAAATGATATACTCGGCAGCAGCAATGGCAATAGCAGCGGTTAGTAACATAATAAAGAGAATGCATAGAAAGAAAGAATGGAAAAATTCTTATTGAGAAAGAAAAAATTCGAGATGTAAATAAGAGATTGTCGATTGGTGAAAAGGGAGAGAGAATCGAAGGCAGGCATAAACCATAAAATTTGGTTTGTTGGCTGTTTGTTGCTGCTGCCGTTGCTGTTGCTTGCTCAATAGAGAAGAGAGTGTGTGTTCTTGTATGTATGTATGTATGTGCTATGATGTGGGTCGGTGGGTCGGTCGGTATGGAGATTGATGTGGAAAAAGATGGAAAGCCGATGTGGAATAGTGAGCGTATTGAAAAGAGTGTGTCCTCCATCGGCACAAACACACAGCAATAGAGCAGTGCATTCCTTCTCTCTCTCTTCGCTTTAGCTCAACGTTGTCGTGGACAAACGAAGTTGTTCATGTGTTTTGTTTTCCTCCTCTTGACCATTGTCATCGTCGTTATCACTTTGCTAAGTTATAATTGTGTAATTTGAAATTCCCTCTGCATTTTTCCCCATCATCTGATCATTTCCATTCGCCGATTATCTTCGATGCATCGCTAAAACGCTGAATGCGTGTCCATCGCAACGCTCATTATCGTACATTTATATTAATATACTATAATTCATATTTTATATTTTTTTATCAAAGTGGTGAATTAATTTTATTACAGACGATTTCGATAAGTTTTTTTTTCATTTTCATTTTATTTTGCTATTAAACGTGATAATTATTTGCATTTGTATTTTTTTGAATATCAATAGGTAACAGTTGCAGCGAATGGATATCGAACATTGCAACAAACTTTATCATTTATCATCGCATTATTTGAGATTTAATGGATGCTGAGGTTGTTATTTCTCACAATATTTTATTTTTGATTTTTTGTGCATCGTTACTGTCGGAATCTTTTATTTTTTTTTTTTTGCGAACGTTTTGCAAAGTCGATATGCGAATTTTCATATGGTTAACATGATTTTAAAATTGTTTTTTTTTAGCTAAATCTGATATTATTGACACAAATCTGGCGGAAAATTAGCAAAGATATTTTCCTGTTCTGTCGTATGTGCATTTGCAAATCTTTGGGCATATTTTTTCATTTCCAAAAATAAAATATTGTGAGAAATAAGATTGTCGTATTTGAATTGAATAATATTGCTTTACTATTAATAAGCAAAGTTTGTATTCATTGATATCGTGGATCTTGGAAAAATTAAAAACGTCGAGAATCGGTGCGACGAAAACAAAAAAAAAATTGCTTATACTGCTTTAACGAAAACTCTTTTGCGTTGTAAATCGGTTATTTTTTGTTAAAACATACAAAAGATGAGCGAATTGGATCAGCTCAGGCAAGAAGCGGAACAGCTCAAAAGTCAAATCAGGGTATGTTTCATTTTTTTTCTTTATATAAACAAAATATCAGAAGTAAATATGAGAACTGAAATTTAAATCTGGGCAGAAAATTGATAATATTTGATCATGATCATGAAGAAATATCGAGGCGTTAATTCCATAATTGGCTTAGTACAAGAATTCTTTTTAAGATTCTTTGTGAATTTTAATCCAGTCATTCGAATGAAAAGGTGACTCTTAAGAAAATTTTGTGAAAATTTTTTAATTTAAACATTTTCACTCTCTCTCTTTTTATAGCCAAAGCGATCAGTGATTTAAATGCTGTTAAAAAATTTCAAATTCATACTTGAATTGATTGTAGTATTTTTAAATTCCGGTAGTTTTTTTTGCTAATCATACCATGGAAAGGTTGGGAATCGTTTTTTTTTTGGTTCATGACAATATATTTTATCATTTCTCTTTTCTCGATTGGGAATAGTTCCAAATTAGAATCTTGATCCTATTAAAGATTTTTAATATAAAGATCATTTTACTTTTTAATTTAGGTCGCTTTGAAATTTTTCCTTTATTTAATAAGAATTTTATTGTTTTAAAACCATTTTAGCATTGAAATTATAATTGTAATTGTAAAATTATAATTCAAAATAAATAAATTATAAATATATAAATTATAAATTATAAATTATAATTAAAATTAAAATTATAAGATCACAATCCATAGCATATTCGTGATTTTTTGGGCCAAAGTAATTTTTAATTAATTGAAAGAAAGGAAAGTGAATGGAAGGAAGATTGGAATCTTTCATTTCATTAAGCGCTAATTTTTTGTTTAGGGCGACCTTCAGTTTTTTTTTATAATAATTCATTTACGTTTTCTGGTTGTTGAAAAAACATTTTATTGGATGCTGATGAAATTATACAGTTGTCCCTTTACCATCTTTTATTTGTGTTTTAATTTATCAAAATTTTTCAATAATAAAACTTTAAAATTTTCAGAATTAGTTTTGCATAATATAATGTTTATTTGAAATAATTTAATTTATGAATTACGTTACAATTTTAATTGATTGTTAGTTTAAATACCTTAAGTGAATTCAGCAATTTTTCACTTCTATTTAACCATTTTGTTTAACCATTCTTCATGAAGCCTAAATTTGATTGCGTGGTTGCTTATCTATAAATAATATCTCAGGAAGCTCGTAAAGCGGCCAATGATACGACACTGGCTTCAGTTGCAGCCAATCTTGAGCCAATCGGACGGATTCAGATGCGCACGCGACGAACATTACGTGGTCATCTTGCTAAAATTTATGCAATGCACTGGGCATCTGATTCACGGAATCTTGTTTCTGCTTCACAAGATGGCAAACTTATAGTTTGGGATTCTTACACAACTAATAAGGTGTTTTTTTCATATTTATTTCATATTTTTTCATATCTTCATATCAATAAATTTTCGTAGTTTTTAAATTTTATAAGTAATTATATAGGACGTCATAGAAGTTTTAGAACATTTCGATTGCTCTCTCGACTTCATTTTCGTAAATTGTTTTATGCAAGGCCATAACGCTGTTAATAAAATTTATAAATTTCCTTTCCTATTTCAGTTATTTTTGCAATCTTTTTTAAACAATTTTAGCCCATTAACCCATAATTTTTATTCCATAGTTTACTCTTCTCTTTGCGTTGATTATATTTATGAAATTTAATTGATCCTCGAAAATTTTGATTGATGAATAACTTTTTTAATTCCGTAATTTAATAAATTGGGTATCCAACGAAGTATTACAAGAAAGTTTAATTGTTTATTGAAACTAGTTTAGCTTTTCAAACTTAGAAAGGTTGCATTTATATACTATTTAATTGATCCTCTAAAATATGCTTCAATGAGAATATTTCGTTAAAGGTACATGCGATCCCTTTGCGGTCTTCATGGGTGATGACTTGTGCCTATGCTCCATCTGGATCATACGTTGCTTGTGGTGGTTTGGATAATATATGCAGTATTTATTCGTTGAAGACACGTGAAGGCAATGTGCGCGTTTCACGTGAACTACCTGGTCATACTGGTTATCTGTCTTGTTGTAGGTTCCTGGATGACAATCAGATTGTCACATCTAGCGGTGATATGACTTGGTTAGTTCAGTTTATTTCATCTTAATAATAGAGTTAAATGAATTAATATTTTAATGCTAATGGCGATGCTGTCGTTTTTACTTTCTAAATTCATCGAAGTGTCCATTACCAGTAATTTTTTTTATGATGGAAAAGGATTTTTTTTTTTATAATTCGACAGAAATTTGAGATTAAAGGTATTTATTAGATGACGTAAATTGAAATTTTCAACTCGTTCTTTTTCGAAAGTGTTGCAAATAGGTATCTTTTTTCTGCGTCATTTAGGATTTATGCGGTTTAATCAATTTTTTATTCCCAGAAATAATCAGTGGAATTAGAAAATTAAAAATTGTATAAGCTAAGAAATATGTTTGTGATAATTTTCGATCATAAAATTTAATTCTTTAATATCTGATTTTAATATGAAAAATGCTCATAGGTGATATGAGGTAGTATTTATAGTTGTATAATATATAAATGTAGATAATAGTATGGTGTTTGGTAGAAATTTTTCTCCAGTTCACAAATCTGCAGAAAGGAAATTGAGAAAATTGAGAGGACCAAATTTAATGGCTTAGCTTAAAGCATGAAAAAGCTAATGCTGCTTTGGACGAAAATATATTCGATAAAAAGAAGGAAAGGCTGATTGTGAGCGAGAAGATTATTGTTGAAGTATAGAGAGAATATAGCAGATTCTGAAGGAGAAATGAATCGATTTGCAATGAACGGAAATGCTTTAATAAGATGGACGAACTACAGCAGTTAGAAAAATAAATGTGTGTGGTTGGTTGGTATTAATATATACTCATTTTGTGTGTATTTGATGATTTGCGTGTATCTTTTGTGTAAAAAAGTTAACGTGTGTCAGACTCGAATCAATCAATTCTCGAAAAAAGAATGAATCGAGTGATGAAAGTAAATAGGTGTAAAGGACATATTCATTCGATAGATAAAATTTTATTTCTGACATCATTTTCCAAATGGCTCGTTTTTTCTGTTTAATATCGTCACACTAAAGAGAAAAGTTGAATATTTTGCAAGAGGCATAATCTCAGTTCGTTTTCTTAGTCATGTAAATTTATGAATATAAAAAATCAGTAAATCTTTGCCTAGAAATATTTACTCTCAGAGTCGTTTTCTTCGGTGTAATATATTTTCTTGACCCTTGGATGAGCATAAATGTTAATTAATGTTAATAGTAGAAATTTCAGTAAATGATTGAAAGTTTGAATGATATAATTTTTGCAATAAAATGGTTTCTTCACAAAAAATTGGCAATTTAGTAAAATAAAATTATAAAAGTTGGATTAGTGGATTCTACTTGGCTTATAAATTCTTTATCATATTCGTTCTTGTTTATTTATTCATCCTTTGTTTTCATTTGTTTTCTCTTTTTCCACTGAAATATTTCAAATATAATATTTTTAGTGCATTATGGGATATAGAAACTGGACAGCAGTGTACGTCCTTTACAGGACATACGGGAGACGTAATGTCTCTTTCTCTTTCTCCTGATATGAGAACGTTTATTTCGGGTGCATGTGATGCATCAGCGAAGCTATGGGATATTCGTGATGGAATGTGTAAACAAACGTTTCCAGGACATGAAAGTGATATTAATGCTGTGGCTGTAAGTTTTTCTTCATTTATCATTGAAATTTTTTTAATTTTATTGATTGAAACGGAGCTGCGAATAGCTCCATTGCTCATTTCTTGAGTTTTTTTCACATTTTTTCTCTATTATTTTGAACATTTTTATATTGAGGATCACGTGGTTATAATATTTATTTTTATTGTATAACTGATGTGGAATTTAGTATTTTCCATCTGGTCATGCCTTTGCAACAGGATCAGATGATGCAACGTGTCGCTTATTCGATATCAGAGCTGATCAAGAATTGGCTATGTATTCGCATGATAATATTATATGTGGTTGGTTTTTATGCACTTAACATTGGATTATTGCAGCCTGGCTAATTTATGCATAATCAAGTGGAAAGTATTCCCATTTTTTCATGATTTTTTTGTTTTTAGGAATTACTAGCGTAGCTTTTTCCAAATCAGGGCGATTACTTTTCGCTGGATATGATGATTTTAATTGCAATGTGTGGGATTCTATGCGACAAGAAAGAGCAGGTATTATTAGATTCTTATAAATTATCGACATTTGAAATTAAAAGAATTTGCATTTTCTTAACTTACTGTTCAAAATATATTCAAGACAGGAGGAAAATTTTATGCATTTATGATTCATCCACCTTCGATAATAAAATTTTCATTAAAATTATAGGTGTTTTGGCTGGACACGACAATCGCGTGTCTTGCTTGGGAGTAACCGAAGATGGAATGGCAGTATGTACCGGTTCATGGGATAGTTTCTTGAAAATATGGAACTAGAAAACAATTTAAAAAATTTGGCAGGTGGTACATTTTCTGTGGACTTAATATTTACGGTGGATTTATTGTTGTCGATTACGTTGAGCCTTTCATTGGTGGTGACGTCGCACATATTTCGTCGTAGCATTTTCATATAGATTCTCGCGTCTGCTTTCTTTTTGTCGCTTTAGCGATACGGCTCGCCGTCACTAATATTTTTTCCGCTATTATTTTACAGCCATCATTTTTTCGCCTAATTTTTCAGTGGTATTTGTTTACATTTCTCCAGATCATGCATCTCATAAGCAAAGTTGTAACCATCGTTCGAAATTGTAGCATTTTTATATCTTTTAAATTAGTCTCTATTAGTCTACATTATTCATTTTTTAAATCGTGCAATTATTCTTTATTTAATTTACCATAATTCGTGAATGAAAGTTTATAGTTTATTTCATCTCCGCAGTTATTTGGTTGGGAAATTTGCTTCAATTTAATTTATTGGATTATTTTTCTTTATGAAAAGCAAGTATTTTTCAAAACTTTTTAATTAAAAAATTTTAAATTCCCAGTTTTCAAGTAACCTGGGACTTTAAGCTGGCGAAGAATTCTGCGATAGTGGCTTTGCACATTAATTGATCCATATTAACTTGTTGCTCATATTGCTTTGTGATTATCAAACGAATTTTTCGTCCGGACTAAAAATCAAATTTGTATTTGGTTTATGAAATTTCCGACAGAAAATTTTATATCATATGGTGGAATGTCGGAAAACTCATCGTATGTTTTGCTTTATGAAATTTTATTATTTCTCATTTTACTTAAGTTTTGCTACAGTTTTAATAATGCAGAACTGAAATCCACCATTTTATTTTGCTTTTTTTAAAATTTTTATTTGCTCTTCGATTTTATATCGGCTTTTTATTCATGTTGAAAGCAGATAAATAGACTTTTCGTCTAGTAACAACAATTAACCACTTTTTTTACGATTTATATTTTGAGCTAATTTTCTTATGATAAAATTTCCTCCTTTTTGACAAATTTAAATTGGATTGCTGTGGAATGATCACTGTCATTCATTTTCTATTCGTTTACGCTTAATAATAGTAAGCGATGAAGATATCTTTTATATTTTTATATTGTATCGTTTCGTTATGGGTTTCAGTGTGTTTCTTTAGCTAGTCGTATACAGTCGGATAAGTTTTACTAATAATTAGGTGCTTTTAATTCATTTGGTAAGGGCACTTGATAAATATTCCTTATCTGTTAGGCAGAACCCACTGAAAAATTAAATTTGCTTGCTGCTTTCACATATTTTACCAGACCTATTTGTTCAAAACTTAAAAGGCTTAATTTATTAAATACAGTTGGCTGATTGTCGACAAGGTTTGGTGGCATTACTTGGTAAATATAGGCATTTTTTTGGAGTAAGAATTATTTGTCGTTACTATTTATCTCGGAATGCTTTTTATTTTTTTTCTATTCATTTATTTTTAGATAAAAAAGCTTGTCGGAATTAAACTTGCATTATTTGATTATTATTGTCATTATTTTGTTTTATTACTATTATGACTATTATCACTATGTTATATTAATTATTAATTTTATTATTATTATTATTAAAATGATTTGCTGCCATTGTTTGATTGTTTGAGATACGTTTTATGGCGTTTGTCCTCTAGAATTTTGGTACTTATAATTGTTATAGACGATTTACGTTTAATTTATTCCGGTAAAAAAGATAAATTGAAAAGCAACAATCTTTTTTTACGCCGGAAAAAAGACCGAAATTTTCTTTTCCAAGATTTTTAGGATTTTTAACTTATTCCCATATTTATATACCAGCTCTATGCTCATTGTTTTGTGTAAATTGGCCAATTCTTTTCCATTTTTTTTTGTGGGAACTTTTTTATTGTGAGGTTTAAGTTTTAAATTTCATTCGATGAGGTTAGTAATAAATATAAAAGCGGTAAAAGAGAAGGAAAGAGGACGAGAGGAGGAAATAGCTGATTTGATTTTTTTTTTTTAACCGTTAAAATTGCGGGAAATTTCGGGAAATTCTGGAGGAAAATGAAGTATAGGATTTCATGCCAAATGTCCTAATATGAGAATGAAGAATTTGCATAGTTCTTTCATTTCCAGTTGGATAATAATTGTAATTACAATTTAGGGTTGAATAATCCTAATTATTTTTCCCTGCTTCAAATTTCCACCAATTTTTTTGATGTTTTTTTTATATTAACAAGGTAATTAGTGATATTTGGTTATCGCGTGCAAGCGATGAAAGGATTGTAGTCCTGGTTGTCGTTGTCTTTGCGAAGGTGTTCATATGCCTTTTGGGTTTTTCCAGCAGCGTCCTATCCACCTCGGCAATAAAAAAGGTCAGTCGTTGTCGTTCAAAAATGGGCTTTTGGATCAATGTGAAATAGGCGAAATGTTTTTTTAATAAATTAATAAATTAGTACATTCCCCATTCGTTTTAATTTGTCGGATTTAATAGACTTCGATAAGTTTGTTATTTTTTTGGGATGGTTTTTCAGATTTTTTTAAAATTTTTTCCTTTCCCTCTGTTTTTTATAATTTTTTTATTCACATTTTATGAAACTATAATTATGATTATAATTCTGTATTATTACTTTCATTAAATTTTGGTTTTTTCAGTTTTGTTATAAAGGTGAATTGCTTTTGTTTTTTTTTGATAATGCAGGATAAAAAATGCAAACCTTGAAAACAGACTGCAATGAGAAAATTGTATGAAGAGCAAGGCCGATATGAATTTTGAAGTTTCGCTTCCGCCCAATTGACTTACTTTGATAAATTGCTGATAAATATTCGATAACCATGGTAAAATCAGCTACTAGCATACTAGTAGTCTATTAGACATCCTACTAGACTGTCGTCATTCGAGGGCTTGTTTTCATTTCTTAAAATGGAGTTGGAATATGACTGAGCAATTGGTGTTGTATCATTAAGATAGTGGTTGCATTAATCGGCCATAGTACATGTTGTGTGATCGAAAAACTGGAAAGCTGTCGGTACTGCTACTGAAAATTGTCACATATCGCCGAGTTTCGGCATTCGATTTAAGGTTATATTCATCATCATGTTAATCATATTCAGCAAAATATTCAGTGTCTTTGAATAAAAGTATTAATAGTGATTTAGTGGTTTAAATTGTGGATTCAAATACAAATAATTGAGGACTATTTACATTTATAGATTTGTCAGTTCGAAACATAAATTTTAAAATAAACTTTAGGTTTTTTTGGCGATGTACTACTACATTATGTAAATATAAATATAAATCAAAAAAACTACTTTTAATTTGATAAACCACATTTTAACGATAAAAAATAAAATTCTTGGAAAAAGACGAGAAAAACGAAGAAGCTTAAATTCTAGCAGTTGATTGAAGTTGAAGCACACAAAAAGGTTTCACTACAGAACAAAGCATGAAAGCATGATTTTGTTCATGAGGTCAAATATGAATTAAATAAAGTGTTTCTTGGAGAATTAACAATTTCGCGTTTTCATGAATGAGGAAACACGCCCTAAGACTCGAGTAAAAATATTCCAGGGTCGCTCAAATGACCCATTTGTCAGTGGCAGATTTAACATCTATTTAACCGTAGTGCACAGTTATCGAATATGATTTTGATACCACAACTAAATAGATCGTTCTTTTAATCGTTCAATAAATTGCTCGTTGATGAATTGGCAGAAAGTTTATAAACAGTATATAAAAAATTTTCAATGATAAAATGAATAGAAATGCACTGGCAAAATTTATAAGATTCTCACTCTGATGGCAATGGAATCAGAAATTGCCGAATTCAAATTTTATAATCGACCCAGCTTAATCCATAGTTTTTCATGATATCCGTGAATCCATAAAATGGGGGCAACGAGAACTGATAATTGTACTAGTTGAACGCAATATTCCAATGGCGTTTTGTCCATTGTATTAACCCTCGATTTTTTCATTTTTCAATCCAAACTTAATGCGAGCACGAATAAAAAGTGCAAATCGAGAATGACAAACAATTCAAATTCTTCTCATACTTTTCTTTTTAACTTGAGAAATTTAAAGATTGGAACCCTATTCAAAGCGTCTGCTTGCTGTAAATTTAAGCGATTTCTTCGCAAATAGAACGATATTATGCAAACAAAAATTCTATAAGTACATAGTTTACAAATTTCAGGGATAGTACATAAACTTTGGTGAAAAAATTTAAGTTCAGCCAGTGTTTTTGAGAATACCAGCGGTAATGGAGAAAGCGAACAGAAACAAGGAGAGTAAGGCTGGCAGGATCCAATTTTCCATCGATGCCTTATGCATTGTGCCTTAGGTAATGATGACACCATACATAGCTTTATAGCTCGGATTGTCGTAGACTGCGAAACTCCCTGGCCACAACGAACTGCTTCTAGCTAATACACTATACAATACCAAAAGTGATGGATTCATGATAAGTTTCAAACTTTTTTAATTGTTGATAGAAAAATAATGAATTGGTAGTAGCTTAAATTCCTATTTTGTGTAGCTAAGAATAACTACATCGTGAATCTATAATTTAGGATCGGACCAGATAAATAAATCAGTTTAAAATGGAAGTTTTTAGTCTTTTTTTTTAGATATCTCTGGTCGAAATGTTTTAAATGATCCAACGAACTAGCAATTATATTAGAAAATATTTGTGATTTCTAACGATGAATATCCATAATAAGGACTTAAAGTAGGTCTGCCACTTACTTCCATGAGTAAGAGATTTCAGTAAGAGATCAAGGAAAAAAATTTTTTCTTAATCAAGGATCACTTCAAGGATCAAGAAAAGGGAAAAGGAAATTAGCTAATTTGAAAAATATTCATCATTCAATCAAATCATGGAGTAGAAGACGATGATTAAACTTGGCTTTAAGTTTCATGAACCCTTTGGATCATCTTCGTAATCGGTGGCAAACTAGGCTTTCTTTAGAAGTGGTGAAAGTATTAATTCAAATTAGAATATAATCCACTCGAATTTTTGGATTATCATCAAGTAATTAACATGTATGGTCTCACAATGATCATCGTAACATTCATTAATAGGTGGAAATACTGCGATAAATTCGAGATCAAATTAGGTTTAGCACTCATCGCTTCAGGCTAACTCCATTGATCAATACTCCATTGACTCTCAACACGATCAGGAGGAATATACCTGTCGCGAAATGCGATATTTTTTCTAAAATTGTTTCAGAATGGTGTGACCCTGACCCGCCAAAAGAAAACTTTTATTAACTTAATCGACTTTTTGCTTACTCCATTTCATATGTTATGAAAGATTAAGATCAGTTATAATCTACTGTATATTCTTTTCAAGAAAATTATTCTTTTCTTAATGAGGAGCGATCAAGGGACCCAAGCCCTTGGGTCCCAATATTTGGATATTTAAATATTCATTTTTTGTTATTTTCCTTTTTTCCTTTTGTTCATTTCTTTCGCTTACCTCTTGCTGTTTGATTTTAATCGAATATTTTTTTTCTGTATATTCTGTATATTAATGAGGTTTAATTAGCCAAGTTTGAGGTGTGGAATGATAAATACGTGCGGCGATCAATACAGTCTTCTATTTCTGTCCAGAGCAAGGTTTTCTAAAATATTAATGCGTGGAAGGCGAGAATAACCCTACTGCCTTCAATTATTAATCTATTTTTTACAATACCACTCGATCTTTGAAATATTTTTTCCAATTATTTGCCGCAAAAATCAAAAGCTCGCGTTATCTCAGCTTCAGACTCAGCTTTCGACTTGAATTCTAGTGGGATTCCAATTAGAAAATGTTAATTTTAGCCATATTGGTGAAAAATGATAATGGTGAAAAATCTTTTATTCTTTAAATAACAAAAAATCACAAAAATTTCTCATTAATGAAGTCCAAAAAAGAATTGGCAAATATTGCTAATCACAGTTTCCATAATCACAGTTAATGATTACAAGCATCGTGGTTCGTTAAAGTAGTACCAAATTACAACAATAATGTATGCCCTTTACATTCGTGGGCTTTAATTAATTCAATTGAGAGAGCTGAAATATGAATGACATAGCAGATTCATCGAAAAAATTATGATTGGAATCTGAAGTATTACGAAAAAAAGAAAAATCAAAAGGGTTCATGGATTGCGCCTATTTATCGTTCCCTATTTCCTCTAAAAAATTGTATTTATTTATAGAATCGTAATTAATCAAGTTCTAAATCTGGTTCCATACAAACCATAATTATCATTTTTTTAGGCTATTTTAAATATTCTTAAAGGCGCTATTATGATCGCAATTAAATAGTTAAATTATAAATATAAGAATATTTGAAAATTATTTTGTTTTTTTACTTCTTTTTTATGAATTGAGTTTTTTGAGTTTTTTGAGTTTCATTATCGAGTATCGTTTGAACAAAAAGTGCATAGTATTTTCCTGGCCAATTCATTCTTTAATCGCTTCACTTCACCACATGAAATTGAATAATAAAGTTCCTAATTTCCTGAAATAGATGCGTCTGGTGAAAATAGATTCTTTAAAATGATACGCAAGATTAGAAAGACTAAAATAAGTTTTACGACTAAGAATCACTAAATGTTTGCAGTATAACAGATGTAAGTGATAAAAATTAATTTTATTAGTATCACTTGTTCAAAATTAATTGCCTTAATGATAGGAATAATTTGGCACCAAAAATGCTTCGATTATAGACGAGATTATAGAATATATATGAAAAAACAGATAACAATATCACTGAAAATGATAAGAAAAGTCGTGAAATAGCACACAATAGCACAAAATTCGCGATTCGAAATTGGTAACAAAAATGAAAATCATCAACAAAAAAGAAAAAAGTTGATAAGCGATTCGTTTTTCATTATTATGCATTAAATTCAAAACAAAAACAGATAGATAATTTGCATAAAATTTTGACAAAATAAATTTTTTGTGTTTTTCATTTTTCATTATCATTTTTTAAAATAATTTAAAAGCACTCTTTTAGAACGAACTAAATAAGTGCTAATATGTTTGATCGAGTATGAACGAATTTTTTGTTCTTTAAATCAGATTTTTGGTCATTTTACCTCAAATTTGTCTTTGAGTGGCCGAAAATTTTTTACAATTTTTTAAACTGCAACAACATTTTCGTTAAGTAAAGATGTGTTTGTCGTTATAATCCATAATAATCAAATTCAAATTTTTGCGTTTTTTAGATTTATTAATCCACTACTCGAATAAATGATATGCTAGTTTATTCGTGAATTATTGAATTATTTGTGTAGCTAAATGAGTGAACCGGAAAGTTGACCTAGATTCAACGGAAAAGAAATTATAAAAGAACTCGCATTAGGAAAGTCAGGCAAAGGAAAGAAAAGGTTAATTATCGTCATGACGCTTCGACTTGCAGAACTCATCGTTCTAATGCTTTGCGTCCTTGCAGCCTCCTCATCAGCTTCAGGTTATTCAGTTATTCCATCTTAGGCAATAATAAAACTACTTTTATTTGAGAAACATTCTGTGCCTACCAAAATTTTTTGGCTTTTTAAGAGCCAACATTATAAAAACATAAATTCATAAAAACCAGGAACTTGGAGTTTTCAGGAATATGGGATTGGCATAATGACTGGTATTGGCCTGACGATTACCATCACCATCATGGCCATCATCATCATGGTAACCACTATCAGGACCACCATAACAATCATGGCCATCTTGGAAATCACTTTCATGACTATCATCACCACTATCATCATCCATTCGGATGGGCATGGCATTATTAAACAATATCCATCCGTCATGCAGTGAAATCATTATGAGCAAATATAAATATTTAAAAACTATTGTAATTTGCGCTAAATAAAATTTACCAGTATGAATTTACGGATATCCAACGTAAATTTTATTTATAGATAGTGATAGGATTTTATAGATAGTGAGGGATTTTTAAAAATTGACATTTAACACTTTGGAAACACGTTGGAACGAACTTCAGGAGAAAGTTGACTGCTCATAGAAACTCGAAAAACTTTATCATTATTCCTTAATTTGTTTTAGGAATCATTTCGATTAATTTTTGATCAACTATTCTGTAATAAGTTATTTGCTAAAAATTTATATAATTCTCCGTGGCGAAAAATCATTCGCACTATCAACTTATTACAGTTTTCATGTGACCAATGCACACTATCTGATTGCTCCTTCTTAATTTTGATTTTGCAGCTTATTTTAAGTAAATAACTAAATAAAATAAATAAAAATCATTTACTACAAAAGTAAAGAATAATTAGAGAAGGTTAAAGGCAAATTGCCGTAAAATTAATAGAAGGATAATAATTTAATATATTAAAATATATAATATAATATATTAAAATTGTGAAAGTGCTACATTAAGGCTTTTAGCCATTATAAGCCAAATCTGATCTGTGTGCTTTATTTGAGTGCTTCTTTTTATCGATAATATCCAAAAAAAAATATCCAAAAATTCATATAATTATTGTTACTGCAAATTTTCGTCTGATTAAAAATTCATTTAACTTACTTGAGATGGAAAATTTTTTTACAGACTTCTCCTTACTCAGTAAATTGTTTTTTTTTTGCTTTTTGAATACGAGTATGCATTATGTTGCCGCATCTCCCAAATTCGGCATATTATTCGCCTTACTTGCCTTTTTTCTAATAAGTAAAGAACAAAAGTATTCTTGCATCATGAAATCTTAACGTTAAGAATCTTAATCCTGTGGACTCGTTAGCTTTTCAAATTAGAAAGAGGCCGGTGTTTTTAATTTGTTACGTTGAATTGATTTTAATATTTTGAAATTAATGCATTTCTGAACATATTTCTCAATAGTAGATTCAGTGTAAGCAACGACAGTGAACTTTTAAAGTTCACAAGAATCGGACTGTTAAAGAACATAAAATTCGCACTTTAAAAATGTGGTATAAAAATATTTTTGACAGTGGCAAAGTTAGTACTGTTAGTGCTTTATCAATTGGAGGAAATGATAAATTTCAATTATTAGATTAAAGGCAATGATTATTTACCATTCATGCGCAGTCATAAGAGATGCTTTTGTCCTAGGTTCAGAGCCTCTGGTTTCGACAGAAATTATCAATTTTTCTTCTAATATTTCTCACCATTACTGGTTAGATTGGCTCCACTGGCATTTCCAAGCAATCCGATTCGAATTCATCTCTAACTGTAATAGAAGCCATTCCATTTTCCATCGTCTAAGTCCATATATTACTGGCCCTATACATTCAAAATTTTTCTGGCCTCATTTCAGTTCATTTAAATTGCATGAATTAAAAATACAACATGAATAAGAAAAAAAAAATAGAATTTTAAATTCCATGAATACGATGATTTTATCAAATTGAATATGGCTAAATTGGTGCAAATTATATCACATAAATTATTTGTATTATAAATTTTCATTCTGCAAGAAAGTATCGATTCATGTGTATTTGAATCCGGAAATTCGTCTTTTCACTTAAAACAATGACTGCCTAGTATTACGCAATAAAAATTGTGGAATTCTGACAAATTTTACATTTTCAAGTTTGCTTGATTAAATACTTTTTTCCCGATGGTTCTTGTTCATTTTGCAGTTTGCGAAGTTCAAAAATTTTAAAAAATCTTCATGTAGAGGATGAAATATAATGCACTGATAGAAGCAGCTTTTCATTTATTTTATTTCCACTAAACTCGTAAAATAAAGAAAAATAGCAAAATAAAAAAGCTTTTATGTTTGCTAAAATTTGGTTTTTAATTAATTAATCGCAATCCTTAAGCGTTTTTGATATTTAGGAAAAAATTGAATTTTGAAAAATATGGAGCTTTGAAAAATATTCAAAATATTTCTGCAAAAATATTGGATTTAAAATATAACTTTAAAGGAATTTTGCTGCTAATAACTTGCTGATATAATTATAAATATAAATCTTCGCCTATTAAGGACATATTTTACACCATTCCTTTTTCAGTTGTACTCATTGTGCACCTTTTTTCTGTCCTGGGAATGAATTGTATTTTAGCGAGAAGCATTATTTATGGGAAAATTATCTTGATAATTCTTAATCCATTATTCCTAATCTTTTCTACTTTCTAGTTTAGTTCTTCATGGTTATCTTTATCAAACACTGAGTTATAGTGTGACGTTTACACAAGAAATTACGTTAAGTATATGTTTTTTAACATTTTTCCATTATCTTTCGTCCACATCATTTTAATTACGCTGCGTTCATGGCATTTTTGATGAAAAACCATTAATAAGTCCCGTGATGCTGGCGATTTACCTGTACTTCTATTGCCAAGGTTTTCTCTGGCATACTTTTCTAGTCTAACAAGCCAGCGGAGCGACTCCAACCTGAAATGCAGAGAGCAAAAAAAGCATGAGCCTATAAGTGTTATAAGTTTAAATCTATAAATGAGTGCCTCTATAAGTGTTTAAAAGAACCATATCTTCAATTTCAATAATTATCTGCCATAATTTTCGTTTAATATTAAATATTCGATCGTACACTGTTACACTGTTATACACTGTTCGATTGTATTGAAAATAATAACAAAACTAATAATCATGCATGTTTGGGTTCCAGATTGAATCCTATATTTTCATCTTATATTGGAACTATGGCTAAAATTATTGTATTAGCTTCCTTTGAACAAAGGCTTTTCTGAAGTACTGGAAATATTTTTCTCAAATTTCATGATCCCTTCGCTAAAGAAAATGTGATAATAATGAAATGCGATAAGAATTTTATTTTCTAGTAGCCTTACAAATTTTCCAACTTTTCATTTTATTTTTCTTATTTCATTTTTCTTTCATTTTTTGCAAGCATAAATTATTGAAAATCGCGAAGTACTAGTAATGTTAAATGATTGTTAGAAATAAATTGTTAAACGTTTAAGAAAAAAATTTGGCCAAATTCCAACTTGTTTAAGCTTTAAATTATTTTATCAATCATATTTTATAAACTGTTCAATGGGCGTGCGAAACTTCTGCTTTATCACTGATAACTCATATTTAAGCTACGAGAAATCATAATTATTTTAGATGATACTTTATTGAAGTCGTCTATCGCTCATTTATTCGCAGTTCTTTCCATCAGTCATGATACATATTGTAATGTCAGTTGATGATGTCTCTCTTGCTAATGGAGATTGCCATGCGCAGAAGTCCAGTTTGAAAGTTGACCGTTTTGGTAATATACCACTGAGGTACTCCAAACCAATTCGACAAAAGTAAGGCAACTTTTTCTCCAAATTCCCTTCATCAAATCCAAAATCCACCTCCAGAATTTTTATGTCTTTGTAATATCCGAATTTTAATAATCCTAATTCTAATACCAATTTTCATTTGTCTTATCATTCCAAAAGAAAAGAACTTCAGCTGAGGATCAAATTTCATACTGTTTCTTCTAAGCATCGTATTTTTTGCATTTATTTCATATGCGACATAACCCGAGAAATAACAAAAATGAAACTTCAAGAACCAGCTAACTATTTTTCAGTAATATGGAATAATATGGAATCAAGTGCTTGAATTGAATTCGTTCATTTGGTGCCAATATCAAGAAACTTTCCTAATTTTCCAAACAGTCAGACTTGTATATAATTTATCCATTTTTAAATTTTACTTTTTTGTCATTATCATCGTTGTTATCATCATTAATAATAATTATTATTTAAAATATTAAAGAAATTGAATTCATTGAATTAGCTAAAAAATGACAACAAAGTTTGATAGATGATATTTTAAAAGATGGTTTATTATTTATTTTTTTAATCCAAAAATTTAAAATCTTTTTAGATTCGTTAATATTTTTCAAAATACCTATTTCTATTTGTCTATTTTTTTAAATTTTTGTCTTTAATATTTTTTTATGCATTTTTTATTTCCACCATTTTATGTCAAAATATTCGATCATCGAAAGCAGGAAGAATGTATTGTACAATTAATGATCTCATTTTATTTATTCTTTATCTTTCAATTAATCATTAATTTTATTTTATTTATGGCTTAATTTGCAAAATGTGTATAGAATGGAGAAATTGTAAATAAATAAAGTTGATAATTTTTCTTTGAAAGCATCGAATGAAAGAAAACTTATAAATAAGCAATAAATAAATATTGTTCTGAAAAAATAGAAAATTTTCAATCTTTCCTTAAATATGACTTTATTTATGACTTTATCAAATAGCATAATCTATTGGCAAATAAGTATTTTTTTTGAGCAATTTATTACACAACAGGGGAAAGATCCACTATCACAATCCTTCACTGTTTCGATAAATCCTTGACAAAGGATTGAAATAGTTTCAAAAGAAATTTTCCGATCCATATTTAATCATCCACAATCTAAGTCCAATACAAAATATAAGAATTCCTTTTTTGATTTCAGAAGATTTTACTGTTGATAGAATTTCTTGATGATGAGATAATTCGGAGAAAATTTTCTTCTACTAAATTATAATCGACTTACGTTGATCAATGTTCGCATTTCTCCCGTTTTTTTTTTATTTTTTGGTGAAAGACTACATTTTAAAACATATTGTACATTTATACATTGATGCAAGCTGAATTTCTTGAGGATAGAGATATAAGAGCTGCTTCTTATCAAGTTCTATCCATGTTAGATAGAAGCACTCGATGAAGAAAACAACAATATGAAATTCTAAATTTTGTCAATAAGTTAACCATTAAATTTGATTTTTAATTAAATTTGATGTTTCTCACAATTTTTTATATTTTAAATATTTAAAATAATTTTTAGTACTTAAAGTAAATGTTTAAACATTTATCAAGCTTATTGTCTTTAATGGTCAACTTAATAGTCGTACCGTTGTTCAAAAAAGAAGAAATGAGCCCCAATCGCCGTCCTTATTTATCTGATCAAAATCGCCATTCAGTGGATTTTATGAATTTTTCTAAAAATCACTATTTCTAGGTGATATCTTGACATCTATAGTTTATTGCGAAATATTTGCCGATATATGATCTTAATCCAATAAATATTTTTCAATATATTTCCTTATTTTTGGAAACGTTTCACTCCTGCAGTCAGCTGAGCCAATCTAAGCAATAATTGCTGTGCTAGCTGCTAATTCTGCTTCAGAGAGAAATCACCTAATTTATTTTCATGGGATTTATTTTATAACAAACCGCATTTGCTTTTTGTCCAATTTTATCGCAAAACCGTTTGCTGTATAATTAGTTGCTATCTTGTCAAAAAAGTGTAAAATTCTAGGCACTGTAATATGAATCTAATGAAAATTATATTAAATCGACAGCAAAAATATTCTACAAAGAAGTTTCTCGCCATAAGTGTCTCTTTTTTTCTTTTTGTCATTATACTGAACATTTATCCCGTACAATACGCTATAAAATATGCGAAGAGTGAAAATGAAATTGATTTTATACCTCCGTTCATTCATAACCGAGTGCTCCATTTCCATATTGTAAGTCAAATTTTCAGTCATATTTTAATGTAAGGTTCCAGTGAATTTTTTATCCATCACTGATTGGGAAAAGCTAAAAAAAGAGTGGTTAGTGCCGATTATTTCCGGTAATATTAGCTTCGCAGATTGTTAGTTGTTAACAATTTTTGCTAAGGAGTCACTTGGCCATTTTTGCCACTTAGTTGTAAAACTACACTTGGGTCGATAGCATGACTCGTCAGGTTCGGAGAGTCGGACTTCTGACGTATGTCAAACAATACCACGCAACCATCCTCTTCCTCGATAAGTTGGCTAAATTTATTCCTGAATATTCTAATTATTGTGATTTTTTTTCACCTAGGTAGTAGTGAGTCTCAACAAATATTAAAAATTTTTCAATGATTTCAGATGAATAAGAAATATAAATTAGATTTTTGCATTATATCAAAGTGCATGTCATTGAAAATGATAAATTTCATGTCATTGATTGAAAATGAGAGGAAACTCACTCTAGAAATTGAACAAAAGATCGTGCCAAATATGTATGTTTTTATAGTATTTTTTTATTACATCCGATTAAAATGAATCTTCGCGCAGCAGCATTCATCATTTCTGGATTGACTACCTCACTACCTATGAGAATTGTACTTCAGAGACTCAGGGAATTGAAATAGAGGCATATGTGAGAGCCTTCACCATCAACTGGATCCTAATACGTAGAAACGCATTTTTTGACGAATTTAATTTAAGTATTTACCTTTCTTGTTCTTTCAAGTATTGTATTCCATTACGGATTGGGTTCAATAAATATATATATATGAGATATTATCAAAGCTAACCAAAATATATAAGTACCAAATCTCATTCAGAAGCACAAAAACGATGAGAACCTGGCCAGCAATGAAACGGGAATATTACAAAAATTGGACACTCATAGCAGTTGTTCGAGATCCACTGGATCGATTTGTCTCAGGATTCACTAATCGATGCATCTTTGATGGGTTTACTCGTATTTACTTTTTAATTACTCAAAAAATTTTTGGAAATAAAAATGAAATTTTAGGCGAATCAAAAGGAATGTATGTTATGGATGTAAGACTAATATTAAATGCTTTATCGAAAAACTGTACAACAGAATGGTTCAACAAATACAAAACAAAGTATTTTTAACTGGTGATATAGAACACCATTTCTATCCGCAAACTTGGTATGCAGCAATGATTAAATCATATTTTTTTGTGCAGTAAAATTATCTCATTGCAAATATGAAAAATTGATAAAAATTTTGAAATAAATGTTGAATTGAGGTAGATTTATTTTTTATGAAAATTTTTTTCTTCAGATTAAATTTTATTAATTTATCCCCCCGGGTGGTTTTGCCAATACACCTGATACCTGTTTTTCTATCGCCAAGTGATTCTCTGGCAAAAATTTTAACCAGTGGAGTGCCAGTGGAGCTAGTTTAACCAGTAATGGTGAGTGCTAACCCCTTATTTTTATATTTAAATACTTAATAAAAATTCGAGAATAATTAGGCAATGCGGATTTTACCGTCTACTCGACAAATACAGATTAATTCGTTATAATTCGAATCGGTCAGTGATTGCCGAACAAATTGAATCGATCTTTTCCAATGTTCAGGTAAGCTTGAAAACTACTTTTTTTAGACCATTTTCAAGATTCTACAGGTATACAAATACAAATGGCGAAATGTAATTTATATAAATATTTAACAGCTTTACGAAAGGACAAGAAATTCCATTTAGGCATTCAAAAAATAATCATACTCAAAGCTGATCACTTAGATTCAATGAACCTCAAGAAATTCAGGTTCCAAAAGCGACGATAGAAGCAATCAAGGTCGATTTGCTTCACAAAGGTACTGATCATGCGACTGAAGGAAGTCAAGAAGCCAAAAATGTTCGACAACAACTCGAAAATGATCCATTCCTATTTAAAAAATTCATGTCGATGTTTTATTATGATTACTTGGTATTTAATTTCGATGTTCCAAAGAATTTCTGTTGACTCGATTCCTTGTAATTTGCTATATTTTTTTTATTTTGGCTATTACTATTTTTTTAAATGAATACCTATCAACTAAAAATTGTCAGTTTTAATATGGAAATGGTCCTCTAAAAAAAATAAATGCATGAAATCTGGATTAATTATGTATCAGTATTTATGGAAATTTTTTAGAAAAATTGGTTCTAATATATTTTTTTTCTTTTTTCTGTATATTGAAAATTGTGTAGAATTGATTTATAAAATTCATATATATCTCCATTTCGACAATTGTCTTTATTGCCTTCATTTTCTATGAAAAAAACCCTCTAAATTATTCTTATTCGTTGTGTAAAGCATTCAAATTACTTATGGGAAGTAAGCGATAAATTTCTAGTCGTACTAGGCTAGCGAAATGAAAACACTTGTCATTTATTTTTTTCAAGTCCACAATTAAAAATTGAACAGTAAAAGAAAGGAGGAAAATAATTTTCAAGACCATAATAAAATTGCTTTTAATAAATGCAGCCTATGAAGATTTTTTTTTAAGAACCCTCACCATTATCAATCAGACTCGCTCTGCTGGCTTATAGCACTAGATAAACATGCCATTGATTCTCTTGACGATAGAAGGGTCGCCAGTATCACCCGACCTGGATTTTTGGACAGATTTACTCTTGCGAGAAATAAAACCTCAGAGCTTCGATTGTGCAACATCCCATTAGGCCATTCTATGCCCCATAAAGATACTGTAGATAAAAAAATTAATATTGAAATTTTTTACTATTTCCAAAAAAAATCCACAACTTTGAACTGAAAATTAATTTCTAAAATGCATTTATAAAATGCAAATAATAAGTTCAACAATGATTAACAATGATTAAATCTAAAGTATATTTGTTTTTTTTAAAAAAACTGGAAAATAATATTTTATCATAAAATATTAGAAAATATTCGTGAAATTTTATGAAATTTTAAAATATTTTCAAGTATCTAAAAATATTATTTTTCTAGTTTTTTTCGATATTAAGCAAATATTTCGTTTTAATAAAATTTGGTACAATCTAAAATAGATTATATAATTTAAATTGTTTGTTTTTTGTTCAATTTTGCATTTTTCATTCGCTTTTTTTTGCATAATGCAAAATTTGCAAATGCGAGTCAAATAAAAAGCAAAAAAATGTTCTCGAATTATCAAAGTAATCATTAATTTGATTGATCAAACAATACAAAGTGAAGTAAAATTGTATAATAATAAATAAATTAGCAAAATAAGATGAATAAGAGGTTAGTGTCATTTATGGTTATATTCCATTTATTACTAATACGTTTAGAAATGAGCTAGAAAAACAGCTACTTGATAATAGAGGCGGATCACCGACAGCAAAAATAAAGTAAGCCATAAGCCAGACAAGACAAGAAGAACAATTTTAATGAAAAAAATGGGGCTATTCTATTCTTTCAGTGAATTTTCTTTTTTTATATGAAATTTCTTACCAAATCACCGTGTTGCATTTTAAGAAATTTACGATTCACCTATAACAAAATTTTTGCGGATATTTTACAGATTCAAAAATCAAAAAATAAGTAGAAATCGGAGAAATACCATTTTTGAAAATATTCAGTATTTAGCGCTTATCTATGTTTCATAAAGAACTGAAAAACATTAAAAATTTCAAACAAAGGTTGGAGAAAAGATATAAGAAAAGATAAGTTTGCCCCAATTTTACCTAATTAAGGAACCCAATTTTTCAAACATCAGGGTAAAATCTTTGTCAAATAACTCTAATCGGGTAAAGAAATCATTGGTTTAGCGCGATTTGCGACATTTGCAAGTTTAAAAAAGGCTGCGATTTTTATGTCGGTCGCTCATATTTAACAAAATTTCTTTGTATTCAGTCTATCACCTATTATATTTTACTCGAAAGTTGCTTTTAAATTCGTTATCATTTTCAGATATTCCAGCATCAAATAAAAATCTTATCTATAAAATAGAATAATATTTTTATTGATGAAATGACCCATAACTAAATATTTTCTAGAAATTATTGTAAGATTTTCGCGAATGCTAAAAATTTCGAAGTTAATTTGTTGGATTCTCGTGTCAATAGCTTTGATTCGCATTCTCATTCGATGGAACCACGAATTGAATTATTCTATAAAATATATAATTTCGAATAATGAGGACGACTTTATACCTCCATTTATTCATCATCGTATTTTACAACTTGCATTTGTAAGTAAAGATTTTGTTAGTGCAGAATCGAATAGAATTTTTTGTAGAAGCTTTTTAATGGGTTTTTCTATCAAATAAGTGCTAAAAAGTACCAGAAAGTTTATCCGATATTCTTTTTTCATAAATTTTTTTCTATTTGACAATTTTTTGAAATTTAATCATTGGTTTATTCCATTGCTCAGGAACGCTTTTAATATTATCGCTGAGTCATGATAGGCGGTTTGCATTTCTGGTTAGATTATCCAGTTGCTATTTAGTTATAAATGTATCAAGCATTTGGCGATAGGAATGCAGTGGGCCGTTAGCCTTGTCGAATCCTAAATTTGTTCTTTCAAATTGGAAAATTTAGAAGAAAAGCACCATGAAATTTACAAAATTTCGAAAAAATATTGGAAATATATTTTGAGAAGGAGAGAAAGAGCAAAAAATCTTATAAAAAATTTTTAGAATGTACCAAAATATAAACTGGAATACTGTATCATACCGAAGTGCATGTCAAGTAAAATGAGGAGTATTTTGAATTTATTACGCAATGAAGATGAAATGATCGGTGAAATTCGGAAAGAAATCGTTCCAAACGTGTATTTTCTCATTTGCATTCCCTAAAAAAAATAAATTTTTGCGCCTTTTTTTCTTTTTCTAATGGATATTACCATCACTGGTTAGACTGGTTCCACTTGCTAAGAATGAAAACTATTTACCAGCGATACACTTAGAGACAAAAGTATGCAGAACCAATTTTTTGATATTGAAATCTCATAATTTGATTTACTTTGTTTAGAGACTAATGCTCCAGCAAAATAGTTGATTCTTAGCTGAGCAAATAGAAAAGAAATTACTAGCACTTAAAGCATATTTATTTGAATTCTGGTAAAAATCGACAACGGCACTTCAGGACAATATTAAAAATGAATCCACTAAAAAAACGTTCCGATTATGTTGGATGGACATTGTTCACAGTTGTCAGAAATCCTTTGGATAGATTAATATCAGCATATGTCAATATCTGTGTTATGAGTAAGTAAGTTTTTGAGCTTATTGAGTTATCTTTTAAGGCGATGTGAAATTTCTGTTGTGGGAAATTTAAGCAAATTTATTGCGATGAGAAATCAAATGGTATTTTGCCAAGGTCAGTCGTGAAATTAATTTTTATAATTCGTGGCTTTAAAGTTTAAACTTTTTTTAAATTTAATTTGAAAGACGTTTGCATCATGCATGATGAAAACCAAAAAATGTTGTAGAATTATCATTTGAGACTATGGAAAGAAATGATGCAAAAAAGTGAAAATTTATCAGGAACTTTTAAGAAAGAAATTAAAAAACCGTTGTGCCACTTAATTTAAGGCCATCTTTATCAATTTTCATCATTTCTGATCAATCATATGCAATATGATAGATGATTAGCGAATATCATTTTTTTGATGCAATAAATTTTTTTTAGTTAAAAGTAGCAGTTTCTTATCGTTATCTAATTATTTAATATTAAGACGACTATAAATATCAGAAAAAAAAAATTCTATCCCCAAAAAAATAGAGCAAACAGATATATCAGACCAATGAAGTGATGAACAATTCAACTATTTGAACATTATTTATAAATTGATGCAAAATTATTTTTTATTATTCTTTCATCATCTTACAAAATAAGATTGTGCAAGTTTTTGCAGGCAGGACTGTTACAAATGCAATGATATACACTGCTTCATCAATAGGCTTCAACAACGTATAGCGAGTTATATAAATAATGAAATAATTATGAGTGGCCATGTTGATATTCATTTTTTTCCACAAACATGGTAAGTCCCAGCAATTTCATCCAAAAAATATTGTGCACTTTGCACCGATATTTTACCAGCATTCTACCAGCATTATCGTTTTTAAAGAGTTTTGCGGCGCGATACCGTAATTTTTGATTCTGATTTTGAATAGATTCAGAATTTCAGTAGTATTCACTATCCTTGAATATTCACAGGCAATGTGCATTTTTCCGTTTATTCGATCGTTATAAAATACTAAAATATAATGATAATCGAACAGTGATGGCAGAAAAAATCAGTGAATTTTTGGCAGCAGCCAAGGTATTTTTTCATTTAAAGGACTACGAAGTAGAAAAGGATAGGAAAGCAGGATGCGATAGGATCTATGTGTATATGCAAAGTAAAAAACAAAGAGAATAAGGAAAGTTTAGGGATAAGATGACAATTTAGATGATATTATAAGAAAGAGAAAAAGATATCATCATAATATATATAAAAGCAATATTATTAAGTAAATGCCTTACTTCAATCCATCACCTTTGGTGTTATAATAATTAATATAATTTTGATTAATATAATCAAACAAAATGTTGTAAGTAAAGTCTTATTTAATTCTTCTAGCCCTAAGCGAATCCAGGCTACATAATTCTAATCCCAGTATACCGTTAATTGGGGAATTGGGATTTAGCACAAAAAAGTGTTTGCGTAAGCTCTCAATTTATGCTACCAAATCTAGGCAAAAATAAACTATGTATTCCATGTGTGAGGTAATATTTTATTAGGATACGATATTTTAGTTAGAAAGTCATTTTATAGTAGAAAAGGTGAGTTTCGATCACCATCCTTGTACTTTTAGCGTAGGTTTAGTTGTGCAAAAGCTAGCGGCCGAATGATGCTTGAGAAGATGACAGGCAGTTCAGACTCGTGCATATAAGTAACACTTTGTTAGTATTAATAAATGACTATTCATTACATAAATTTATTTGCAAAATCATTTAATTTATTTTATTTTATCTAAAATTATATGAAATTTATTTGGAAAAAATTTATTTTTATTTTTAAGAAAATTTATTTTTCTTCCGGTAAATCAAAATCATTTCAACTGTTATCGATATTTTATGATTTTAAATTTTTAAAATTATCTTTAGGTGCCTCGAGCAATTATTTCAGCGATTAGCAAAGATGTAATAAGAAGCGGAACAGCTCACCAAACACGTGGAAATATTGCCGTCAAACATGTGCGGGAAATTGTTGAAAGTGATCCAATTTTGTTGAAAAAAATTATTTCCATGTTTTACTATGATTATGCTATTTTTGGTTTTGAAATGCCATTGAAATTATAAGATATTATTGGAAGATAATATTTCACGGAATCGTTAGCGAAACTAGTAATTTTATTCTTATTTGTGGCTTCTACGTTGTCTAAATATTAATTTTTATCTAAATAAAATAATATTTAACAGAAAAAAATCAACAATATTCAAATTTGATAAAAATCGACTATTTTTTTTCTTGGCAATATTCACCATTTTTGGTTTGGTTAACTCCACTGGATATATCTATATGCTAGAGTGATTTGGCGGGCGGATCTTTACCAAAAAATGTGTCGACGACGCTTGATCTCAGTCGAAGCAGCGAACATTTATTTCTTTAATTATTATATGAATTATATATAAAAGAAACTAAAATGAGTTTTAAAAAAACCATGCAAATGAAAAATTGGAATAAAAATATGTAAAATCATTTTGTTATGCAATAGCTTTCATGGACGATTTTTTATTTTCAATAAAAAATTACCATGCTCATTGCCTTAATCAGTCGAATGATCTCTTCTGAAACACTATCACGTTCCTTCACCCTTCAAAGCGAACAACTAAATCGAAGGAAGCTACAAAGTCAACAAAATATGTAATGGTGGATTGCCGGTATTTGAAGCGATGCTCCAACTCTTCTTAACGTGAATATCTGGTCAGCACAAGCGCGCCCCAGCCTGAAACAGCTTAGGGCATATCTTGCTTTCCCATACTGTTATAAATCTAAATCTATTGAGTAAAAAGAAAACAAAAATTTTCGCTGAGACATCTAGTAGGATTCTCGATAATCGTTGCAGTATGTATTGCCACCCTTCTTGAGAATTGGGCGCAGATCTGTGTATATGGGGAATTGATAGACTCTTTCGAAATAAGAACTGGTGTCTGTAAAGGCTGCCCTACAATATTCAACTATGCGATAGACTGGGTAATGCGATACATCGATTGTCGGCATTCAAGGGATGTCCAAATCAGTCCAGAGCATCGTATCACAGATCGCTGGTGATGTGGTCCTTTATGCTGACAATTATGACGAAATGCAATGCTAAATAACGTGTTAGAAACTGCAGCAAGAATCGGACTTACGGTCAATGTAAAACGAAAGATTTTTCGTTTTATGTGCAAGAAATTGATAAAATGCCTCGTTTTATAAATACATTACCGTTGAGGAAGTGTCCGGTTTTGAATATCTTGGGTCCACTCTTACAGCAAAAAGCCAGGCAAAAGATGACATTGCAACTGCAGCTAGAGCGTTCTTCCAGTCGACGAAACCTTTATGGAGCCGTCGTGAAATTAATATTAAAACGAAAGTCCATATCTATATAGCTGTGATTCGCTCGATTTTATTATATGACTCTTAGACATGGCCAATGAGAATGGAGAATATTATGAGAATATTATGAAGCTATCTACCTTTGACCACTCTTGTCTAAGGTACATTTTATGGGTCCGTCGAGCGGATAAAATACCACATTCATCTTCGTTTAAATACCACTTGTATTAATGTTATTACAAAGCATCGTCTTCGATGGTTAAGGCACGTTCTCTGAGGTCCATTACAAGAATTATCGCATATTTCGTTACTTGCCGAACCCTGCAATAGTTGGTGTCAAAAGCGAGGTGGGCCAATCAAGACCTGGACTGATGCGGTCAGAAAAGATTTTGAACGTATAGGTGGACCTGCAATATATGGACTTAGACGATGGACAAAAGGAATAGCTTCTATTACTGTCGACGATGGCACCGCGCCGCGCCACTTGGAAACGTCTTACCCTTCCGAAGCCAGCCTAACCAGTAATGAGAGCCATGGAAGAAGAAGATTAAATAATGATTCGAATAGTACGACAGTTTCATTGAAATGCGATGCAGCTATGTACTCGATGCAGAATAAAAAATTCATGAATTTTTCATGCGAAGAATTCGCGATGCCGAAGGCCATTCTGCACTGAATGGCTTATTTTCGTGCATGTCCGAGTAACGGCCAAACGACCATGTATTGAATGTTTGATGTTTGACTTTCATTTTCATTCGGACAAAAATGAAATGTCGAGATGTTTCCAACGACAGCTTCGAAGAAAGATTCGATGCTCCGATCTGCTGTGCCGATGATGTAATTCTCGGCTAATAACTCGGAGTTTCCATCATTTTCTGCAGTGCCAAGTCTTAACAAAGGTTCAGAAAATCTTCGCGTAGTCACATTGTATTTGGAGCTTCCGATGTCGTTTACTTCACTTGGTTCGAATCGCATTCATCCCTCTCTATCTTTCCGGTGAGGCAAGTGAAGGCTTATTTCACTGTCCCAGGCCTCTGGTGGAGGCTCCAAGGTTGAGGTCATCCATGCCACTCACGAATATTGACAAAAGGGTCTCTTTTCTTTCTTACAACAGCAGTGAACAGTACGTACAACGTCAGAGAGAGAAATTACCCTCATTTCGTAAGGTCAATGACCCACGAACCTACGCTTACCAATCGTCCTCCTACGACTTCGTCTTGTTGCATAAACTTAACATATCCGCATTCTCCCGACAAAAACTGGCTAAGCGAAGTTATATTCTCCTCATATGACGAACTTTTTCACTATCTAATAATGAAAAAACTGTTGTTGCTTAATCCAATAATATTGAGCTGATATTTTCAAAATTGATTGTAAAATCTTGAAGCGATTTTCTAAATTCAGTACTGGCAAATTCTCAAAAAATTTACAAGTTCCATTCTTTAGTAAATACCATTTATTTCGCGCTTAGAAGTGCTTGTTTTTTCAAGAAGTTTCAGAAAAAAGGTACTGAAATGTCTAAAATTTTTGTTTTATTAATTTATTTGTTATCATTTATTGGTGAAGAAATAGTATTACGGTAGGAGAGAGCGCAGAGATGAAAGGGAAGGGTGAGTGGAAGTTGGAAAGAACGAAGCGCTAATGGATGAGATGGGAAGCGGCGTTATTGTACAGTAGCCAGATGGGCCGCGTTTAGGCTTAGGCGGACTACCATATTTCTTGGCTCTCTGCGCGCTCGTCTGTCATCACTTCGCATTTTTGTGAAAAAAGGCACGAAGGAACGAAGCGGTAATCCATTTAGCTTTTAAATATGGGGGCCTATGCGTTTGCTTAAAAACTTCTAACTGATCGAATATTTCGTCCATTTAGTTTATATATTTTTTGTGCAAAATAATTTTTAATTCCCTTCATTTGTTATTCACTTGTTTTGAGATTTTACTTTTTATTAATTAATTAATCTTTTAAGATTTCATTTTTTCTTAATTCGTCGAATATCGTACGATTTTGCACCTTTTTTTGTTTATTCTAAATTATTTATTTTATTTATATGTACTTTTTATCATTTATCATATCACATTTATCATATTTTTTATCATATTTTGTTTTGTTTTTAACAAAATTTTTATCATATTTTGTTTCTTAGCATATTAACTTGGAAAATAGTCGCATAAAAGGCGCTTAGAACGTTTCATTTAAATTTAAATTTCTATTAACTTTTAAAATTCACTTTTATTAATTTTTAGCATCGCAAATTTTTTGCAGAAGAATTTTTTTCAGAAATGTTATAATGGATATGAATTATCGATTTATGCGGAAAGCTCCGAGAATAATATCGCGTAAGCGAAAACCACCGCCACCCTCAAGTGAATATCGTACATTTAATTTATATATTTTTTCCATTTTTGCTTAATATTTTATTTCAGTTCTTTTCGATTATTTCTATTCGTTAATTTATTCTGTTAATTTAATTAGTTTTAATTAGTGTTATTTTTTAGTGGATAATTTATTTTTTAATTGTTCTTCGATTTCTTTATGGTTTCTTATTTGTCTTATAAATCAGTGTTATTATATAATATTAATGATCAAATAAATAAGACAAAATTTGAAGCACCAACCTAGAAAATTTTTAAATTTCTTGTATAGATTGAATTATTTCTTTTTTTTTAAATTTTTACAAAAAAAAATCTGTGAATTCCATTAGCCATCTTTGCAATTTTTTCATTTTTGTCTTAAATTTAAATCTTTTTCGCCAAGAATACTCATCCGTTCTGGTTAAGCTCGCCTCTGGCTTGTTGAACCAGAAAAGTTTATCATGGAGTACTTGGTGGAGAAGTATTGATGAATCTCCAGCATCACCTGGGCCTTTGAAAGACAGGTTTATTTTCGGAGAAGCAGGACTCCAGCTTTTCCGCTCCAAAATAAAGGCAACAGCCCATTGTACCATATATTTAGGAATTTATTTTTTAGCTATCTCTTCTAACACTGAAATAGATGATGATATTGGAGAAGGGGTTATCGTTCATCGAGGAGTCATGATGCAACTTATTGATAATGAGAACCACATTGGTCCAGTACAGACATCAGATTTTCCACAACAGCTATCACGCAGAATTACAGTTGATAATTCATCGTGTTTGAAGGAATCACACATTGAAAAACCTCTACCAGGTAAATACATGTATTCATTAAGAAGAAATACATAAACTGAAATTTTTTCAGTCGCATTCTATTTAGTATTATTATTGTATTTATTGTATTATTATTATAATTTATATTATTATATAAATAAAAAGACAGTTTTTCATTTTTTTTTCAGTTTTAACAGTTCCGTAATTATAAATATTATTCATAGGAATCGCCGATGAAATTGAATCATATCCTTGTCGATACTGTGCAGATCGAGTTTTTTTAACTCCATTCGGCTTAGAAAAGCATACCAAAGCTCTTCATTGCGAACATCTTGATAAAGTTTTCAAGCAGATAACGAAAATACATAATGAATGGCGTAGGTTGGTCAAATCCTGCTTTTAACATTTAACATTGTTGGTAATTTGATACATACTTTCATTCTCTTGAATATCCTTTTTTGAATTGAATTTTCAGACGAGAATGTGAAAGAGGTCGTCATAAAGAACTCACAGCCTTAGCAAAGATCAAACAAGAAGCTTTAAAAGATGTATTTGGTCGAAAAACAGGTTTACTTTGTTCTTTTAATGAATAAATATGATGGGAAAGGGACCGAATGGAAATATTTAGGAATATATGGAATATTCTCCTTATTTATTTAAAATAAAATAATTCCCCATTAAATTAACCATCTTTTCGTCACCATTCATTTAAAAAGATAACGAAATTTTAGCGCTGGTAAAAATATCAGTGCGAGCGAATCAGTGTTAGGATAATTTTTGATTATTTGTTTTTATTTGATTATTTGTTTATTTTTATTAAATTTGTTTTATTAAATGTTTATTATAAAAAGAAATAATTATTAATAGTTTAAAACAAGTTCGTTGATTTTTAAAAAACATTATTATTATTATTATTGATTATTATTTCAGCATCATGTAGTAATGTCATTCAAAATGAGGAGAGCGAGGAGAGCTGTGATGAATATGAAATAGATCCAAATATTAGAAGAACGTATGACCCATGTCGAATTTGTGGAATACTTATAAATATTCTGCATCCAAGTGCGATGATTAACCATATGCGTGCACATACAAAAAATGATGAACTACGAAATCAACTTCTTGCGGAATATGGAGTTGAGGTATTTCATTAGTCATCGATATCATCGATATAAATTAAATTATTTTGACTGATTTTCTGAAAAAAAAAGTCCTTCAGTGGATTTTTATGTTTAAAATAGACGTTATTGAAAGGTTGAAGATTTTTAAGCAATACTCTTCAGTTTTTTTCAGTATGTAGAAAGGGTGACATGCAATGAATGTCAACTAGTATTTTCGGATGATAATAAATTATTAGCACATACGGAGTTTACACATGCACGGAAAAGGAAGTATATTGTTTATCATTCTTACTTGAAGTGTAATTTAAAATAATAAAGTGTAATTTAAAAATTTTTATTACTTTATTTCGTAATTTAGACTAATATAAAGTTTCATAAATTTAATAGTGAAAACAGCCATTCTGATTAATTGCTTCGGTCATTTATGGTTCATTAGGACTGAATGGTATTTAAAAAGCATATAGAATTTAAAATTTAGATATATATGTAAATGGTGTGGCCATTTATGCCAATCCATGGGACTTTTAAATGCACACAAAGCTGATGTACATGGAATGCCTTCAACGAGGTTCAGGGAACGAATGCGTAAGCTTAACAGACGAAAAGCTGTAGGTGAAACGGCAGGATCTTCAGTAGCATTTCGCAATGCCAAAGGCATTTCTTGTGCTCCCTCTGGCAAATTGTCTTCATCAGTGAATGATGCGCCTTGCAGGTTTAATTTCTTTACAGTTCTCGTATTTTTTATTTTTTTTGTGTTTTTGAACTTTATTAAATATTTTTTGTTATACTTGTTTTTATACTTTTTATAATTTTTTTATAATTTTTTTTACGCTCAAAAATTGGTTTTAGATCATATTTCTTTCTAATGTTTAAAAATAAATTGAAAGCAAGGAAGAATTTATTTTAAATTTTAAATTTTGTTGCTTATTTTGCAAATGATGTTCATTTTCTTCCAAAAAAATTTTATAACCTTATTTAATTAATTTGATTGGCTTTTAATTTTTTTAGTTTTTTTCATTTAGAACTGCATGTGAATTTTGTGATCTAATTATGGTCAAGCCATCTCTTTTAATTCGCCATATGTTGCGAGTTCATAATCGAAGTATTTTCACCGCAGTTATCGAAATGAAAAAAACGCCTCCTGTCAAAGTCGAAGTGGATAATGGCCGACTGACTTGGTTGTGTTGTGAAAGCTCGTATTATGATAGGCATTGATTATGATTTTTTCTTTTGAAGTTAATATAAGTTAATATTAATGTAAAATGAAGCTTGAAACTTGTGGTGTGGGCATTTCCCGGTTGCAATTGTTTAAATAGAAAATTTCTTTAATTTTTTCCATTAAAGATTTTTTTTATCCATGTAAATTTTATATTTAACAGTTTCTTATTTATGTTTATAAAGTTTGTTTTTATAAAATTTTAGACAAAGTTTTATTTATCACCGAAAAACAGCTCATCAAACCAAATATGATGGTGTTAAGACAAATAACATACCTCGTGATATGATTATGGATGGTACGTAATTATTTCTCATACTTTGAAAAAACTTGTATTTATAACTATTTTATATATTAAAATGTAATAATTTAAAATGTAATAACAACTCATTAATCAAAGTCAATCTCATTATTCTAATTCGGTCACTTTAAATAGTTATTTTTTCTTAATTTGAAAGTTTTTATCCACAGAAAGGAGGAATGCGGCATCATTATCTGCAAATGAGCAGAAAGACTTAGTACTTGGTGATTCTGTTCAAATTTTGGATCAAGGTCCAAACAGTTCTTCGGAGAATGTCTTTGTTTTATTGGTTGCAAATTCTGAAAATAGCGAAGGTTAAATTCTTGTTTTTTAGCATTGCTATTCCATTTTTTTGAAGTTTGAGATGAGGTTTTTCGGGAAGATTGAGAAGATATAAAACGATTTAGGGACTAATTTTTTTGTATGTGCTATTATAGGAATAATCACTTCGAGATAATGGCTTTATTTATATTATATTTACTTTTGAAAAAAATTTAAATAAGATCATATATGAAATTATTTATATTACATTAATTTTATTTCAGTATATTGCCTTTTTATTATGCTTTATTATTTAGTATTTATATCTATCTGTTACTGATCGTGAAGATTTTACTGTATGTTTATTGGCTATTATTAATTCTTAGCACTTTATCCCTGTTAGTGGTTTTCAGGTAAATAAGTCTTATTTCATCAGTTCGGTGGTCACATTAATTAATTTTTAATTGTAGTATGCGAGAAACAGGATTGTTGGGAAAGTGTTTCGCAAGGAATACCCCAAGGAATGCATCAAATCGCTCTAACTGCTGAACAATACGAGCAGCTGCGATTGCAGATTGACGGGGATCTCAATAACATGGTTTTTTTTCCTCAATTTTTAAAATTTCTGAGTTTCTTTCGAGAAAAAATTCCTTTTTGAAATCATCCATACGTTTCTGTCGCAAGCAAAAAAAATTTTAATTTTGATTTATGAAATTGTGCAAAAGTTGAGATTGGAATTATGTATTAGCACCATTCATATTTTTTTTGTTGGTATCATTTATTTTTTAAAGACTAATTTCGAAAATTTTTTGAAATCAGAAAAGGTTTTATTATAGCAAGTTTTATTCATGGATGAAGATGAAGAGACACAAAACTCAGTTGCTACAAATGAATTTATGTCAATTGAGCCACTACTCTCCACTATTACTGAATCAGGTGCTCTTAATAACGCATTTTCATTGAATAGTCAAAATGATCAAACTGTTAGATCTCCAGTTATCACAAACATTCCTGTGCCAGGAATTTCTATCACAGTGCATGATTCTCAAGCATCTAACGCTTTATCTACATGAATAAAATACAGTTGTTGGTTATTTTAGGTTCTTTAAAGCACAGATTGAGATTTGAATCTTATTTTTAATTTTGTATAAATACATTCGTTTAACGGAAAAAAACTTTTGTTCTTGTAAGTAAGCCATGTAAATGTATTGATTGCAAATTAATTTTTTATAAATTTTTTCCGTTGTTCTGTAGACTTTATTTGATAAAAATTGGTCTTTTTTTTAAATTCTTTGCGATTTATGTTTCATTGTTTCATTGTAAGAGATAATGGTCTTATTTGCAGTTTTTTAGCAAATGACTTGCAACTTTTTTTCAAATGAGAATCCTGGTTTTAATCTATCTTCTTTACTTATCTTTTTGTTTTTGAATCGAAAATTTTCGTTCAGATTCATTTTTATTCTAATTTGTTCATATTAGTTTCTCTATTTTCATTGATAGCATGTACTTCAATTTTTTCAGATTAGATTTTCTTCTTTAATTATATACTTTTTTTGACAATATTTTAAAAAGGATTTATTTTTTTAATAATGGTTTAAATTTGAAATATTTGTAAATTTTTCTGTCAAATCGCTTAGAAAAAATCCAAATTCTTATTCTTATGCATATGATATGATATCAAGTATCAAAAATGAACGACATATATGTCTTGTTATTTCCTTTGAATCGATAAGGAATGATTGAAGAATGATAATAGTGAGATAGCATATTGGCTTCTTCTGAGATCATATCCCAGAGTGAATTTATGGGTTTGATGCAGTTCTTTTAACTGCACAATTTTCTATTTTCAACGTTTATTTAAAATCTCTAATTTATAGAAAAATTTATAAACTATCAATTTGATGAGGTATTATATTATTAATTATATTATATTATATTTTTAACATTATAATTTTGTTAAAAAAAAATGTATATGACGATTTCACGTTGATCATTTCTCTTTCGAGCGTATGTGTGGTCCGCATGTTCAATTTCATGTCTGCTTGTCGAAGTTAATCTTTCTCATCAGAGCTATCTTCCAGAGACATCTGGTAATTCACCGAGGCAGTAATACTTGCCTTGCCCTGCTGCCTCGGTGCACTTAGTCATGAGTTTTCTAATAAGTCATCATCTATCGTTTGTCTCATTTGTGCTAATCGTGTTTCTTGTCGATAGAAGTGTTTGAAATTCGCAACCTAAAAATAACGGACTGAAACTTTTAATGTTAATTTTTTCCTTTATTTTCTTTTCGTCATAAATCTTGCATTCCTTATAAAGAAATAAATTTTACGATGATAGGTATTGGTAGAGCGAGCGTTAAAACACCTATTAATGCGCATATACCTCCAACCAATTTGCCATACAATCCTGTCGGTGTTAAATCACCATAACTATAAAAATTTTATTGTAGTATGATTTTTTTCTTCCTCATAAATTTGTAATTTTAATCACCCCCATGGCCATAGTCATGAGCGCTTTGCTTAAATTTGAGACACTGTGGTTTATTCCTCGCTTCTGGCGAATCAGAGCAGCTGACTTGCTGTACTTCATAAGCGAGCATTTTCAATAATAATGGAAGCTTCGATTTTTCGAAGATCGAGCGGATTTTTGAGGAAGTGAAAAAAGTTAATGAATATTTGGCGATCGTTTAATTTTTAATGAGCAAAAGATTTAAATAGCTTTCAACGACGAAAAATGTTAAGTAAATGCCAAAAATTGTCACTGAATATTCGAAACGAAATACATAAATCCATGAAAAAATTGTTTGAACTTACCCGACAGTTGTCATTGTCACCTGAAAAGAATTTTAAATAATCTTTTTATTGTAAACTACAATTTTTAAAATTTTTTGGTTATTTCCATTGAATCTGCGAAAAAAAAGATAATCGTTCATCTTTGTAATTTGCGGTTTTTCTATGAATTTATGTATTTATTCGTTTTGAAATTGAAAATCTTTTCTACTTTTGCTATATTTGCAGTGTTTGTTTCACTTTTTAAGCTAATTCTATGCATAACATTTTAAAAAATATGTGAAATAATGGTCATTCGCAATTAGGTAAAATTTGGCCGATGGTTCAGCACTTCCTCCTGGAAGAGTTCGACGGTTGAAAACTACGAGTAATGCTGGGAACGCACCTTTAGTTCCGTACGCAAATGACTGTCTAACGAAAATATTTCAGTTAATGGAACAAACAAATTAGTCACGGTGTTAGAGGAAGAAAAAGGAGTGAAGAAAAGAGCAAGGATAAAGATATAAAAGGCGCATCGATGTTGTCGCCACGGAAATTGTTCGCTAATGGCGAACACGCAAAAAAACTTCATCGATCAAAAAATGGCATATTTTTTTAAGAAAGCAGTACTGTGGGAACTTTTGAAATAGTTCTTTTTGGGCGAAAGAAAAGGATTTAATGGAACTATTGATAAAAATGATTCAAAAATTTCTCTGTAACCCACCAAAACAAACCAAAATGATGCTGGAATAGAAGTGAATTTTGTATCCGGCTCACTTTGCTCAGCAAAATAAACACCGCTAGAAAAAATAACCAAAGCGATTGCCAGAAAAAATATTAAAAGGCAAAATTCCTGCACAGAAGCACGAAACGTTTTACCAAGAATTTGAAGACCCACTGAATGCCTATAATGATATTTCATCTGACTCTGAGAATTTAATTTTCTGAAAATTTTACTCCGATTTTGATGTTGAAAAAAATGGATTATTTAAATGAAAATAATCCATAGCTATTTTGCGAGGAAACTGATAATTCATGGAAAATTGTGTAGAATGTTTTCGGTAATATTTTTCAGAACCAAAAATTCTAGTTTTATAAAGAATTTCAATAAATATATCATTAAAAGATAACCTGCTTAATTTGAAAATCCTGAAAACTCGTACCAGTCTTAAGACTCGAAGCACTGCAAAAGACATTGAAGAACCTGATTTAGTTGCATCCGTCCTTTAAAAAAGCTTAATCAGAGACGTCAATCCTAATCAAATGTTACAAAACTTTAAAAAACAAAATCAAAACCATAAAATCATTCTTTATACCACACGTAAGACGACAAATGAATAAGCGAACGGCTAATAATAAGTCAAATTACGGAAATTTAAGGTTCCAGATGGAAAAGTGCCAATCCATTTATTAAACAGTCTATCTCCATCTTTCCCTAATTATTTATTGTCGATTTTTGGACTGGTATGGTGTTGTTGGGTGCAGATGACGGGAAAAGAATATTTGGCTTATGGAGAGTGAGTGGGGAAGCGTATCTTAAAAAGAGATGCATGAGTCCATTTATAGAATAAGTATTACATTAACGCTTTTTAACAAAGTATTACTTCGAAATTTATTGTGAATTCGTTTAGTTGCTCAAGGATTATGATAATATCACAAGTAATTTATTGCAAAAAATGCATAAAAGGTAGCAAGAAAAAATAAAATCCCGCGCTGAACAAATCACCAAACAAATTAAAGGAGCTGCGAAAACTCGTCCAATTTTACCCATTCGACGAAAAAAATACCATCCGGTCAAATTACACTCTTTTCGAAGCATTGCAGATAAAATAAAAATTACCAAAATAAATTGACAAAAAAAGGTGCAATAGCGATAAAATCAATTATGTTGAGGAATGATCGCATAAATACAAGCTTTCCAGGGCAACTTATAAATCGCAGTAATAATTCTGTAAGGAGAAGATTAAGCATGGTGATTTAAATTTTAAGGAATTTTACGAACTTAACTTTTCATAATCGGTAATCCGATCAGTTGACAACGTTTGTATATCAATGAATTATTAATTTTTGATTTAAATTTCCAACTTACTACTATTTTTAGAATCTTTGAAATTAAGCCTTGAATATGCAATGCAATAGATCTAACCAATAGTAAACCATATAATACAAATGAATTCAATCCAAAAGAATGGATGAGACCATTTCCGAGAGGGTTCATCGGAATCCGTTTCGACTTTAAAATCGGGAAGGGTTTCCAAACAAAATGAAACTATTGATCTGAAAAAACTTGAAAAATGATTTCTCGTAAGTTATTTTAAATAATTATTCTTTAAGCCGATTGAATTAGAACAAATTTTCTTTGATATTTTAATTTAAAGCATATTTTTTAAAATTATTATTATTTATTATTGCATTATAAATGGAATTCTGAAAAAAATGAAAAAAATACTCGCTGAAAATAAAAATTGATTTCAAATGAATGACTTTGCTTATTGCAAATTTTTTCCGGCAAATCCTTGTTACGTATTATTATGGAAACGAGTGAGAAAAAATTATTTTTGGTTACATTACTTTTTCCAAGCAATAAAAGGCTTACACAATGATAATGAATATTGATAAAAGTGCCATAACTCTCGCTGACAATGATGAATCCGGATATTCCATCAATTCCCACAAACGTCGTTGTAAATTATTGCGAGGCATTTTAATTTCTTTTGGTTTTTCATAACCTTCATTTGTCCAAAAAGATTCCATTATTTCTTCACCCATCTTGAAATGTTCGAAAAATTAGTCTAAATTAGCGGGTGATAGCGTAAGCCTTTCAATATAAATATCATATTTGCTTATTTTCTTTACACTTTTGAAAAAAAAAATGGCTTCTACAATAAGAATTTCTATCAAAATATTGGCATGAAGAAATAATTTACCTCAAAAAACCTCATTTCTTTCAGGAACAACTCGATTGGTACTGTTTCAGGTCGTTTAACTGTTCCATTACTTTGATAAATATATAAAATTGACTCAAAACTGAAAATAACTGCCATGTTAAAATTAAAATTTTTTATAAATTTTATTATTGCCACAAAAATGACGGAAAAAATTATTTATAACAGCCCGATTTTTTTCGCCAAAATTATGCAAAAATTGTGGATCAATTAAGCAATAAGCCATTGAAAAAAATTCGAATTATTTCGAAAAAAGCAATTTACATAAAAAATATTTGAAAATTTATATAAATTGCATTCTGCATTGATTCTAACAATAAAATAAATTCGATTCATGTTGATATTCATTACTTTTACTTTAATTACTTTAAAATCTTCATATTGAATTCATAATTTATATTAATAATATAAAGATATCAAAAATGAAAAAATATCAGAACGACACGCCTGGTCCTGTGTCGATCAAAGAAATATTCTTTAGTGTCTTCATTCCAGAATTTTTCCCTTTTTATTGGATTTCCAAGTAATGTCGCTGGATACCTGTAAGTGATTTTTTTGCAAGAATGACAGCACGTAAAAAAATGATTATTTCAATATTCAGGATAATTGAATAAACGAGCACTGGCAAATACCTTGATAAAGTCGACTCATAAGTTTGAAATATCAATCCGGAAACATTTATATTAATAATGTGATCATGGGATGACGCTCGAAACTCATCTGCTTCTATTGGAACATTATCTAACTGAAATTTTCCAATAATATTTTGGAAAATGTCTTCTTAAAAAATATTTTGGATCAAAATTAAGGGATTTTAAGAAAAATCTTTTTTATAGAAGAAACAAGAATTGCAAGGAAATACAAGGAAATTTTTATGAATTTCTATAAAAAAAAGCGATAGCACTAATAACAAATAATGAAAACAGCATCTTATGTGTATTTTGTCCCTTAAGTCTGACTAAAATTCTATAATTACAATTTTCTAATTTAGAGATAAACCTTGCTCAATGTATGTTATCAAAAAATGTTATGTCATCGAAAAATCAGTTCGATGGAAATTTGACCGATTGTTTCACCACTTGATGATGACTTTTACTCTGTATCAGTACTGCATAATAATAATAATAATATTAAGAAAAATTGCCGAAAAAATTTGTTCCCCTGTGAAAATACGACAAAATAAAATAATAAATCTTCTATAACAAAAGCAGTTTTTATGAAAAATATTACACGTGATAAAAAATGATGGAAAAGGAACCAATATTCAAAAATTGCGAAGAAAGATTTTTTTAAAATCAAAATAGCGGTTGTTGTTTAGATTATGGAGCATCAAAGTTCAGCTTTTGACAGGAGGAAACCTTTCATCAAAACGTCCAAGTGCTGGTGAAGGCCCACCTATACTTCCATTAATCTCCCGCGAAAATTTCTCAACGTATTAAGTTTCTAAGTTTCAGTGGCACGAGCACCCGAATTTACAAAACATTTAATAAAAATGTGAAAGCAAGCAAACAATTAAAAAGAATATACATGAACTTAATAAATTATGTGAAGAAATATCAATGAAAAATTCTTTTGAGCAATGGTTTTCTTGCAAATAACGCTAAAATTAAGAATAATATACGAATTTATTTATCCATAAATAAAGAAAATGATCGACACTGATAAATTCAAGATTCTAAGGTTTATAATTAATTTTCAGAATGTCATAGATACCTCTTCTTCCGGAATCATCGGAAAAATTGAACCATTATTTGGTCGATCAAACTGAGCACGACGATTCAAAATTTCCATCATCATCGGAGATCTATGAACGGAAACCATTACGAAATTACGAATTTTCATTAGATGATTTGCAAAATTTTATTGAAGTTTACTTATTGCACGAAAAGTGCGAAGAAAGTTTTTCTCGTTTCAAGCGAAATGTGCTTTCAAATTGAAGAAAAAATCGCTGTAAAAAAATTTCTCAGGCTAAAACAGCTGCAGAACTTTTTTTGGTTCGTTTAAATCTTTTTTGAAAGCGGTGAAATATAAAGAAAAATATTTAAATCTAAAATGCGGAAGAAAAAGCGATAAAGCGTGGAAGAAATCGTGGAATTATCTGATAAGATAGCTAAGGAAATTAAAAAAAACGAAGATCCTATGAAAATGAAAGCATTATTCAGCGACTTGTCGTACAAATCACATTAAAAAAAGTAATCGGATATAAGATTTGTTACCGAAGTTTGCTGAATGATGAATCAGCAAAACAGCTGAGATTTATCCGGAGAAAACTGACGAATACTGCAGGCAACCATAGATCAATCATAAATTATCTATCCATTCGTCGAAAAAATAAAAATTTGTTGATTCTTTTTTATTAAAATTTATCAAATTCTGCAATTTATTTCCAGAAAAACTATCTTATAGTGTGAAGGATTTGATCGAGTTTTTCTCAAAATATTTTCATCTAAAAAACTTTTTTCATTTCTTTATGGCTTTATGAGTTCTCCAAATTTCTGCGATCGAAACGGAAATATATGAACGTTTTGCTGAGCTTGTAAACCGCAGTTTTTCTTTATATGCTTAACCGTTTATTTTTCTGTATTGTCTCTGTAGAAAGATATTAATTTCTAATAACATAATAATAATAGAAGATATTTAATTTCTAATAATTTAGTCTGAAATTTAGGCTGCAACATTTATGTGCAAATATGAACGAAAAAAATTAGAAATGAAATACAAACTGAAAATGGAAGAAAAGAAAAAATTAGGGCACTGAAGAAATTGAAATCAAAATAGAATTACAATAGAATTTTACTGGAATTTATTAAATAAATAAAAATTATTTTTATATTATATTATAAATATTATATTATATTATAAACTTTATATTATAATATAAATTATTAAAATTACTATAAATTATTTCTGAATTATTATTAAATTATTCTTAAACTAATTTTAGTAAAATGTGTTAATTTGATCGATCAGTCTAAAACTAAATTTATTATTTTAATTATTATAAAATACATAAAATTTTCAAGTTTGCCAGTTTCTGATCTGATAGACTTTAGGAGAGACGATAGCCCTTTATAGAAATGAATGAAGATTGATGATAAGATAAGAATAAAGTTATCGAGATGAAGTGATTGGCCGCAATGACAAAACTTAGTTCACTATTAATCCTCTTAAAATAAGAGGCAATGATGAAACATTTCATTCAGAAAAATCCAGAGGGACAAATTTCTTAGAGAGAACGTCTTAACTAAAAAATACTACAGAAGTTTATGGGTGTCTAGGCAGGATACGCGGGCAGAATAAAGCAGAATAAAACAAACAACTCGATTAATAATCAAGAAAATCACAAGTAAATTTTAAATTTACGATTATTTATAATATAAGATTAAAAAATGAAACCATATAGGGAAAAGTTTTTTTGCGTAGAGATTTATTTATAAGTGCGTTTAGGGACAAAGTTTTTGGAATCTTCCCGAAACTTTTTATACGCACAAAGCGCGTCGAATTTTCTCTTCGTAGTAAGACGAAATCAAGAAGAGCGAAACAATTTCAGGTTTGCTTTTTAGTATAAAATGGTTTTGGGAAATTTCAGAGTGCAAATTCTTTTAAAAATTACTTCATTATTCCAAAAAATTTTGAGAATATAAAAAAAAATAAAATTTAATTTTATTTCAAAAATGAGAGAAAGATGACTTGAAATCAATGATTTATTGTCATAAAACATTGTTTAATCTCCAATCGCCCTTTATAAGAGAAGAAAATATCTGCAAATCAATCAAGGAAAAATTTAAAGATCCTCCAGGAAACTGAATAAAGCTTTCGCCGCAATCTAACGAATGCATGAAAGCAGATTATAAACCAGAGTTAATAAATAATAAATGTTATTGGAAATATAATCGGAAATATTATTTTACGAGAAAACAATACGAGGAAAATGTCTAAATATCAATGTAAAATTAAATATTTACAATATTTATAAAAAAATAGAGTAAATTTTTAAGTAAGTAAAATTTTACAATAAATAAATAAAACTTTTAAGTTTTTAATATAAAATTTTTGCGGACGTTATTTAATGATTTAGCGAAAATACGGGGATATTTAAATAAATAATTGAGGATAAAGAATATTGATCGAAGAGAAGGCCTGAACACATAGATATAGAAAATAATTTACAACATACGTAATTTCAGGCACTACCAAAGGCCAGTGAAAGTGGATTAGTGCTTTACAACGTAACAAATGCCTCAAACACCTTTTCTTTCTTAGCATTTTTATTGCTTCAATTTTTTCAGTGATTCATTTTCTTCCGTTCTTCCAGAAATCTGCTAAAGAATACAAAACTAAAAATCCTTCGCTATACGTAAACAATTTAACCAAAAATCCATTAAATTTGCTGCAACATTTCGCTTTATCATTCATTCATTCATTCGTTCATCATAAATAGGAACTTTTTAAATTTTTATGCCTTTTAAAGTTGGCAAATGAATAATTTCCTAAGACTATAATTACTATTTTGACAAGATATTGTACATATGAGGTCCTTGATCCACTGAGCTCAACTTAGAAACAACATATCCAATTGTAGTGAAAATGGATGCATATGGATTCTACAGTGAATGGAAAAGTTTTAACGTTATTAAAATAATAAGGCTCACTAACTATTAAAAATCGTGTTCTCTTTCTTCAGAGTAGATCCTGGAATTTCAATCCAGAGAAATATTATAATAGCCGATGCGGAGTAATACCTGTTGACGCTTCTACTATAAAGCCATTCTAATTATTCTTGTGGTTTTCCGAGCTCAAATGGTTTAGTCAAGCTTATTTATACCCTAACGCAATTTTCAATAAAATTTCGCAAAAAAAATTAAAATAGTAATTATTTTGGTTAATTCTCTAATAATATTTCGTAAATATTTTGGTCAATTAGTAGTACTTAATTTCCTAAAATTTCGAACGCATAATTAACTATTTTCTCCTTTCCTAAAAGAATAAAATTCTTGACAATCACTGAAATAAAAATAGAATAAAGAATAAAAGGAAAGAATATAAAAATCTTGTTCAGATGAAAAGGAAAACTAAAGAATTTAAACAATTTATTCCAATAAGATATCTTTTTTTGTCATGAAATCGCTAAACTCATAAAAATGCACGAATATTATCTTACTGTTAAAGAAGCATTGCAGAAATACTAAACAGAATATTCCTGGTAAATTTCCGTAAATTTGGCTTGACGATTCGAAAGATGGTTCAAAAATTCATAAAACTGCGAGAACTTCATTATTTCATTATTTTTATATATTATTCATTTCTACGCTAATAGAATCCAATTTATCAGGAATTCACAATCGTCCATAAATTTTCCACTTGAAAATAAATAAAATTTCTCGATCAAATTTCTTGATCCTTGAAATCCTCTCCGATTTTTATTCTGGATTTTGCCCGTACTAGCAATAATAAAAATTTGTTGCACTTGTAAAAATAAATAGTATTAGTGGAATAAACGTCTTTATTTGAGGCTTTTGTCCAAGAAATTTCAATTTTTTCGTTTTTAAAATTTTTTCCAATAATCTTTTAGATTTATGAAATGGAATTTATGGAATTTCTTCTCTCTTTTTTCTTTATTTTCTTTCTAAATAAAGACACATTAATAAATATTATCGATTATGTTGGAACAAAATTAATTGCGGAAATGAGAAGAAATGTATAATAGAGGCGACTGGAGAGATTTAAAGCAGCTATGATGAAGTAAGTCTTCGTGCACTTTATGGTTAAATAATAAAAAACCGAAAAGATTAATTCATGTTCCTTCCATAATAGACAATTAACAATTAACATAAAAAAATTTACTTTTTCACCATATCCAATCGTGCTTAATTTTTTAAAATTTAAATTTGTTCAAATCTTTCAGATTTATCGAGCAGTCGAAAAGTTTCTTTTATTTATGCAGCATTTAAGAAATAAACCTTTTTGTTTATTATTTATCAAACGATAAGTCGAGGAAGCATGGCTATTGTTTCGGCCGGAGTAAATCTCTCCAAAAATCCAGGTGATATTGGTGATTGACCTGCAGTTCCATCGCCAAGGAACTTCTTGAATATTTGCCTTGTGCAGCAAGCCAGCGGAGCGAGTCTAACCAGCGATGGTGAGACTCTTTAAAAAAAATATTGCTGCGAGGCCAAGGATTATGGGTTGCAATTCCTGTCTATGTATGTTTAAACAAACATATCAAAGAGCGATATCGAGATTAATATTTCTATCGTCTAGGTGATCAATCTTTCATAAATCATCCTCAGTGTATTTTGAAAGTAAAAAAATTCAAGGTTCCAATATATATTTCGAATTATTATCGATGAAATTTGATTATACAAAGGAAATTTTTTATAGTTGGCAGAAACATTGGCAGCTCGTTCCATTTCCTATTATAAAAAAAAATTCGCTAACAAATGAATTTTAAACGGAAAGCAGTGAAAAAACCAATGGCATGTTTTTTGTTCTTCGCTAATTATAAATTTTGCGTTAATTACACGCTTCTACGCGCATTCTGTGGTTTTATAAATAGTTTTCGTTGATCTAAAGCAGAAAACTCGCCCGATCCGAGTCCAATCTTTGTAGAATCTTTGAATTCCTAAAACCTTATTCATCGAAAATAAAAAAAATTTAATAGTACATTTGCTAGCTGAATGGATGAGAAATTCAATTTGAATAACCGTAAAAAAAAATTTAAAGTGATCAATTTTTTATCAAAATCCACAAAGAAGAATTTTAGATGGCCGATGTCAAAAATCTTTTTATGCATGAAAAAAATGAAATATAAAGGAGGGATCAACACTTTTCGTAAACTATTCTTGTTGCTCAAATAAGAAATAAAGATCTAAGATTGTGCTTTGAAATCACTGAATAAAAACATAAGGTACGTCGCAAAAAGGTTTTAACATCTAACACACATCTTGAAAATATATATCAGCTGGGGGATTTTAACAAAATAGGATTCAACTAAAGGCTTTTATGTGAATAAAGGAATTATTGCAAATAGACTATCGGTTTTAACTGGACTTATGAATTGGACGAAAAAAGTAGGGAAGTTTATCATAATAACTATAAAACAGCCAGTGGAATGAGAATAATCAGGGATGATACGCGGTAATCACTTACTTATATGCTGCGAAAGAAGGACAAAAATCTGACAATATTAAAGCTTTGAAAAAACATAAATCTTGAAAGATTTTGTGGAAAAAAATATGATAAATGAGCTAAAGCTCGAAGCGATGGAAACCTGGACTGTCAAGAAAAAGAAATATTTTAATAGATGGTATTTCAAAAAATTAATTAAATTTTATTGTAAAAAAAGAAATTTTTGTGGAATTATCCAAAAACATATGGCCAACGCAAGAAAGAAGCTAAAAGAAGTTAAAATTAAGAAACTAAAATGACCGAAAATTCTTTTACTCACATTCATAAGTTTCTTAAAATAGTCGCGATGACTGAAACGCATATCAATCGGAAATATTTTGTGTTTTAACGGTTTTAAAAAAGAGCAAGCAAGAAAAAGTATGAATGTAAAGTTGAGCGTAACTTTAAAAAAAAGGAAAAAACACTTAAGGAAGAGAATCTCTTACAAGTAATCAACCGATCGAGATCGATACTGGTGAACCATTGAAAGGTCAACAGGAGTTGTCGACCGAGTTTGACGAGCGCTACTGTTTCGATATTTTTCAGGATGCACATTTAAAAAACTTTCTAGACGCCTGGAAATTATCCACAGTCACATTGCATTTTCTTGAAAAAACATTTCAAATTTTCAGTTTCAGAATTATTTTCATAATTTTTGATATTTTTGCAGAAAATAACCAAAGTTCAGTGATTTCTGCGCTCTCACCAAAATACTTCCATGATATTAGGGGATAAAGCAAATGAATGAGTGATTATCTCTAATTAAGCCAGGAAATTCTGAACAACCTATCCATCATTAATAAAGCAGGAACTTATTGTTTTGAAGACTTGGGCTCATCGTCTTTTCAACATCTGTCTGAATATTTGATTTAAAATACTTTTTCTAGTATCTTAAAAATCTTTCCCTTTTTATATTACTCCAAGCAAAAATCTGATTGGATCATTGGCTTTTCAAATTAAAGTATTGAAACTGAAGTATAGAATTATATATTTAAATATCGGATTTACATTAAATAATTACTTTCACTTACAATAATCACTTCTTTTTCGCAGTAATTATAATTATCAATAATTATGAATTTATAACTAATTTTTTTTCTAATTAGATATTAGATCGTTCACCTTTTCACCATGGTTCACTATGATTAAGTTCACTCCACTGACCTGTCGGACAAATTTTGCCTAGTAGTTATTTGGAGAAAAAAGTTCAGATGAGTTGTCCACACCACTTGGTTTTGCGAAAGATTTACTCCTGCCGGGAATCTCAGCATAAGCACTCCCACTGAGCGTCCCACTGAGCTATTTTCTTGGTTATTGCCAAAATTCGATTCAAATTAAACTTTTTTTTAAATAGCTAGTGAGAACAAAACATTTGAATGAACAGTGGCTCGTACTGAGATGCAAGAGTTCGAATCCTGCTTCCTCCCTCCCTTTTCCCCTCTTACTCCTATGAGAAGCAAACTTTCCAAAAAATTTTTTATGCTGACGACCCGGTTATATCTCTATTGCTGGGTAATTTCCATGGCAAGTATTTCTAATCGTATCAACAGCCAGTGCAGCTAGCACAGTCCAGAAATGACAAGCATTAACCGCTCAAATTTTCTAATTTAAACACCAGAAAGGATTGCGAACTCAAACTGAACAGCCTTATTATTGTTACGAAGATCTGATGCATAGAAAATTTTTTACGAAATAGGAAATAAAAGATAAAGAAAGTCTAACCTGGTGAGTCCTTCCAACTCAAAATGCATTCCGTAGTATATGGGGCATTGAAATTTATTCAGAGCACAATGTTCAAATAGTTGTGATAAACAAAATAATGGATTGATCCTTAGACACGCCCTTAGCTATTTTTCTATAACTTTTTATCATTGGTCTTAGGTCAGTTGAAAAAAAATTTTTAATACCATTTTCACGTTTTTTAAATCTCAATTAGTTCTAAAGCTAAATTTGGTTGATGCAGGCAAAACGATCGAGTGGTAGATAAGTATTGGGTAGTTGGGTTGGGTGCATTTGGTTTCTGCTCTTTGACTGCCCTGTGAGTGAGTGTGTTATTAAAAATGGAAATGAAATTCAGGCGATGGATCTCATCTTAGAAGATCAGTGGAGCTAGTCAGACCAGAAATTCAGAAGACGACGAAGAAATTCGGCAAATAAGGCTAGTAATGAGAAAGAATTTCACAGTATGAGGGAAAATTCATAAAATTTTTTTATGTTCCTTCTTTTCTTTTCGCTATTTATTCTATCAAGTTTTGGGAAATTGATGGTAGGAAACCGGCGAATTTAATTTTAGCTTCTAAGTTTTTTAGTTAATAAACAATGTCATAGTCCAGCATAACACGCGATCAGTCGGGCAACAAGAATAGATAAACTTATTCTCAAAATTTATCACATATTGGAAAAAAGTTATACCATGACTTAAAGCCTACCATTACAGGAGAAAATTCCGAAGAATTTCGCAAAACTAATAAAATCGCTGAAATTTGCTGAAGTTTGATTAAATTAAAGTTTTCATTACTATAAATAGCAAATAGGATTCGTAGAACTATAGCAAGCCAATTTTCAAGGGAAAGCGAATTACCAAGAGATATATAAAATTCATTTTATAATGGATATATTAGTTTATTTGCTGCTAAGTATATCAAAAGCGATTTGGTATAATTGAAAATTTTTAAAAAGTTTTAATATTTTTGGACAAAAAAAGAAAAATGCGAAGAACCTAGACCATTAGACCAATTTTCCAATGGGTTTAAGGCTTAGCGTTGTTCAGTACTATTAATTGATTGGCATTTTTTCAAAATCATTCCAAGATTTAATCGGATTTTTCTAGATTTCTCCAAGATTTCTCCGATTTTTGCATATGCTAAAATAAGTTGAACATTTAAGGCTCTAAAATTTTGATTATTCAAGCAGATTATGAAAAAATTAACGTCCTGAAGATTGTGAAATATGAAAAGCCAAAAATTTGGTAATTACATCAGATTAGCAATCATTCGTAATCATTTCATTTGCAAGATTCATGTGGAAAGATTTTCCCATTAATTAGCACGACGCATTGTTTATTATAGAAGTAAAAAATAGCGTTAGGTTTGATCCACTGACCATTGCTACAGTTAGAAACAATTTTCACCAGAGATTCACTTGGCAGATAATGCATTTTTAATGATTATTAGTAAGGAGGAAGTTTTATATATATGACCGAAGTATAATCTCATAATCATCCGGCTATCCAGCTTAACTATCGCTTTCGCATTTTCATATAAATGGCTTTCAAAAATCAAATTTAACAGCATTTTTTGCCTTTTTATGCAGAAAAAAGGTCTGTTATAAATGTCAGAAACATTCCAAAATGAAAATTTCTTGCTAATTAGGAAATTTATTCAAAAGCATCATCGATTGCATGGAGATTTTAATTTTTTTTGCTCGGAAAAGCATGAAATTTTATTTATTACATAATACATATTCGACGGAAATATCGTCATAAGTTCGTCTTAGCCTGAAGAGAAAATCCGAAGAAAAATATTATCGATGCTGAATTTTATTTCTTTTTATAATTTTCATTTTCATTTTTATTAAATTAGCTGGCAAATATAAAAAAAAACACCTATTGCTTCTTCAGTGCTTACATCTTTCTTGCTTCAGTTTTTTTCTAAAACAGTTGCTGGGTGTTGCAATAAAAATTTTCTGCTTCATAATTTTTTCCTCACCCACTTATCATATTAAAGTAAACCTTAAATTTTTTCGACCTCAAATTCAACACTATTTAATTTATTTGGTATTTGGTTCGAAATATATAAGTTTTATAAATATGTATAGTTTTCGAGATTTTGCTCACTATCACATTTTCTCGATAAAAAGAAAATTTTGCGAGAAGTACAGTTTAAATTGCAAAATTCTCTAGAGCGTTTTAAGAATGAATTAATGAATACCTTTCGATCTCGATTTCGATCTGATTTCAAGTAAACTATAAATATAAATTTAATTATTATTATTATTATCTGCTTGTTGATATGTCGAATACACTAAGGAATTCTCGCCGAAAAAATTAAATTAAATTCAATTATTTTTATTATTGCATAATTTTTTCTATAGTTTTGCTTTTTTTTACCTTAATTCATAAGAAAACATCAATTCTTTTTTGAAAAAAAATGAAAGGAAAACTTAAAATTTAATTAGTGAGAGACGAGATGGGATGGCCGAGGAGGTTGCTTCGATACGCATTCAGCATACGGGCTCAATCCTTTGTCCTCGCAGGAATAAACCTGTGATCGAAAAACCCAGGCACTATCGATCAGCACGTACTTCTATCGCCAAATGACTGGCAAAAATCGTAAGCCCAAACTGAAATGCTGAATGCTAATACACTTTTATTTAGCACAATAGAAAAATTTTTTTCCGTCGATTACAAGCACGAATTTCTTTATGAATTATGAAAAATTTTTAATAAAACTTTTTGTCTTCCCTTGTCTTTACAGTTTGTTAATTGAAATTTTTCGAAAATTCGTCGAAAGTGAAAGGAAAAAGTTATAAAAATCGATTCGAAAAATTATGCGTTGGTAAATTTCAGTAAATTTTTTGCTTCTCTTAAAAACTCCATGCAAACTGTGATGTTTATAAGAAAACTTCGCGTTAAATTGCGAAATTATCACCGAATTAATACTTTTCACCGATAAAATCATGCTAAATACGAAGTGACTGCATTTCTTTTGTGTGAAAATAACTCGGCGATGGAATATTTGAAGAATATATATAAACTTGAATGATAGTAAACGAAATAGATTCGATAGGATTCCCAGTTTATACGAAAATTAAAACTGAGACAATTAATATTGAGCATTATGACATAAAAGCAAAGCACACTAATCAGGGAGCATAGAAAAACCTGATAGTGAGATTCACTTGAATTTTGAGTCTGTTTAGCGTGAGTAAATATTTTTAAATAAATTAATATAAATATAAATAGATTAATAAATAAATAAATGGTTAATACATAAATAAATAATAAACAATAATAATTTAAATAATTAATAAATAAATTAAGAAAATAAATTAATATTATGGAAATAAAATAAAGAAAGCTGACCAAGAATATTCGAGAGGCATAATTAACACTTTCTCAGCTCATTAAAAATATGCAATACGAATCAAACACCTCGGAAATAACGATTTATTTTTTTCTACGGATAAATAATAATAAATTTGATTTTTGCTGAACAATTTGTTTATATAACAACGGAAATATCGCTGAAATATATGAATAAACAATATAAGTCAATTAATACTCATTTATTAATAATTTATTAATTTATTAATTAATTTACTCTTTTATTATTATTAATTATTATTCACTCATTTATTATTAATCTGTAAATACTTTTGTAACAATAATCATTCAGTGGTTTGTAACGAGGAATAACAATACAATTGCTCATTTTCACTTAGCCAACTATTTCGACGAAATAATTTTTGGGAAACAGCATGGCAGCACATTATCTTTCAATTATCACAATTATCTTTGAAATGATTGGATTATGATAAGCAAATTACTTACAACACCTTATATCACTCACCGCTTCGCGAAAGAGTGGGGCGAATATGTATGTAAAAGGGCCGAAAAGCTTATCCCTTAATAAACTTTTTCTCAAAAATTTTATTTAGCGAAATTTTTG